AACCCAGAAATGCCACCGGGCAAGAACCCGGTAGCGGGACTGAATACTTTCCGGACTTTCTTCGTGTGCTCGATATTCCTCACGAACCCATCACCAATGGGATTTTTTTTTCCTTGTCTCCCTTGTCTTCACTGTTGTATCTTTTCTTTGCCTTGTCTCGAGGCCTGTTTCCAGCCCCTCATGCATACCAGGGCTGTTTTCCTATTTTCGACATTGCCATGTCCTGCTGATATTACTCTATTCCTCTAATTCCTCTTCTCCGTTTTCCTTTATCTGCGATCTCTTACTCTTCTCCTATTACAGCTCCCTATTGACCTGGGATTCGATTCCAAGCGCTTCCACGTCTGATGCTTTTTGTTCGCTTTTGCTTTTGTTCTTTATTGCTAGCTTGTTCAGCGTTCTTGTTTCAACCTCCCGAGAACTCTTACCTATCTTGCATGGACCGATATCGGGATTGCTGAGCATTTGCCCTATGCCAGATCGCGGTCCCCCCCGGAGCCCTGGTCAGGTGGAACGGAGCTGGGATTGGGACGTGACACGGGCTTATTATGTATAGTGAGCTTCGAGAATCAATTCTCCTATTCGAGTGTGTTGTCCATACTGTCCCTAGATGTGCTTAGCATAGATATCTTTTGGGAGTGAGGACAGGAGTGATATAAAAAGTAGAGGAACCCTCTTTATAAAGAACTAAGCTATGGAGGAAATATATTCTTGGCAAACCTACAACGTCCAAACCCCGCCCCGACCCATCTCACCGCCCCACCACTAGAGATTTCCCCGATAGATATCACAAGGCCCCGCGGACTAGAACCCTCGGAAGCATACGGCCCTATCGCCGTGTAATGAATCCAATGAATCTAATGCATCTGGCTACCCCAGGTTCACGATCGAGTCCTGGTACTCCAGTAGGGCTACAAGCACGGTACATACCCGCTTCATGCAATGCGTCTGTGCGCTGGCATTTGCGGGGTAGGTTTGCAGTCTAATGCGCCCAAGCTGGCATCTAATCACCAAATCGTGGCAAAACGGAGAAGTCGGCATGGGCTGGATGGTTGGTACGGAAGAGCTCGATAGTTTCGGGCGATAGATAGCTGATGTGGAGCCGATGAAGCCCGGAGGAGCTGGGCTTCTAGGCCCTCCAGGCCCTGCGGATTTATATTGGCCGTTGGAGCATTTCCGGGTCTTTTATGCGAGCGCCGATGGACGTGGCCTGATGTTGTCTCGGGCATAAAAAGTCACATGTACATAACTGCGACTTGGATAATCCGTCATGACGTACTTCTCTCTGCGGTAGCACGCCAGAAACAGGCTTCACGGGACACTACTGGCCAAAAATAACTATGGCGAGGACTGGAATCAGTTAGAGGAGTATCCGAATATTATTTGAATATTAATTTGCATATTAATTCAGAGGCAACACCCGAAAAAAAAAGAAAATGTCGGCCGGTGTCACTCCAAAAGTCATGACTACATCCCCTCCCCCTCTTTTCTTTTTAAAGTAGCTTCCTCTTCAATCCTCTTTTCTTTTTCCTGTACTGGACTTTCTCCAGCTTACAGCTCTCCCACCTTCACCTCTTTCTCTTTCCATCATGTCGACGACCACCCCAGATGCAGCTGCAGCTGCACCGGCCCAAGCCCAATCGACCCTACCTCGTCGGGAGCGGAGATCTTCTTCCGTAGGAGCTCCCATTGCCGACCTCCAGGGTCCTGTCGGTCCGGGATTCAGTCGTCCCAAGCACAAGCGCACATTCACTGGCCTTGGGCCTGCCGAGATTAAGCATGTGGAAGCTAGCATTCCTGAGCCATTAAGAGAGGCGTGAGTACCTTCCGCGAGCACTTGCTTATAGTTGAACTAACCAATTCTCGCAGATGGAGGAAATTCGTATGTGGAGAAAATCAGGGTATCGGGATGCGGGGTTCCAAGCTAATACTTGGAGTCAATTTAGTCGCCTGCTGAATTCACCACTAAAGAAGAGTTCGAGGTAAGTCCCACTGGCTTTCGTACTTGATACCCCAGATCTAACGCCTCGCAGACAGATCTCGTGCGCCATATTGAAACCACCCTCGCTCGCTCGCTGTATAATTGCGATGAGTTGTATGTGTTCTGTGCACCTCATTCAAGCCGTTCTTGCTGACTGGCTTTCCATAGGGCTGCGTACTCCGGAACCGCGCTTGCGTTTAGAGACCGGTTGATCATCGAGTGGAACAAGACTCAGCAGCGTCAGACTTTCACCGATCAGAAGCGAATCTATTGTATGTCTCCAGCCCGGTGACAGAAGACAATGGCTAATCCCTGTAGATTTGTCGCTTGAGTTCCTCATGGGACGTACATTGGACAATGCCATGCTGAATGTTGGCTTGAAGGATGTGGCTCGAGGTAAGCGCTCAGACAATCGTGACCTGGAACGTCGCTGATGGTAGCAGAGGGATTGAGCGATCTCGGATTCCGCGTCGAGGACGTCATCGACCAGGAGCACGATGCGGCATTGGGCAACGGTGGTCTAGGACGCCTGGCCGCGTGCTTTATGGACAGTATGGCGACCCTGAACTACCCCGCCTGGGGATACGGCTTGCGTTACCGCTATGGTATCTTCAAGCAGGAGATTGTCGATGGCTACCAGGTTGAGGTTCCAGACTACTGGCTGGATCACAATCCTTGGGAGTTCCCCCGACACGAAATCACAGTCGACATCCAGTTCTATGGTAACGTTAAAAAGTACCAGGATGAAAACGGCAAAATCGTCCACTCGTGGGAGGATGGTGAGGTTGTTGAAGCCGTCGCATATGATGTCCCCATTCCCGGGTATGGCACGAAGACCACCAACAACCTTCGTCTCTGGTCTAGCAAAGCCAGTAGCGGAGAGTTTGACTTCCAGAAGTTCAATGCTGGAGAGTATGAAAGCGCAGTGGCGGACCAGCAGAGGGCGGAAACAATCTCAGCGGTTCTCTACCCAAATGATAACCTCGAGCAAGGAAAGGAGCTGCGTCTGAAGCAGCAGTACTTCTGGTGTGCTGCCTCGCTGTTTGATATCATTCGGCGGTTCAAGAAGACAAAACGCGCGTGGGGCGAATTTCCTGATCAGGTCGCCATTCAGCTTAACGACACCCACCCTTCTCTTGCAATTGTTGAGTTGCAGCGCATCTTGATTGACAAGGAGGGCTTGGAGTGGGATGAGGCGTGGGGTATCGTGACCAAGACCTTCGGGTATACTAATCACACTGTCCTTCCTGAAGCGTTGGAGAAATGGTCTGTCCCGTTGATGCAGAACCTGCTTCCGCGTCACTTGCAAATTATTTACGACATTAATATGTTCTTCTTGCAATCTGTCGAGAAGCGATTCCCCAAGGATCGAGATCTCCTGTCGCGCGTGTCGATCATTGAAGAATCGCACCCCAAGATGGTGCGCATGGCCTACCTGGCTATCATTGGCTCTCACAAGGTCAACGGTGTGGCCGAGCTGCACTCAAAACTGCTCAAGAGCACTCTCTTCAAAGACTTTGTGACGGTCTGTGGACCAGACCGCTTCACTAATGTCACCAATGGTATCACCCCGAGACGTTGGCTTCACCAGGCCAACCCCAGGTTGTCTGCGTTGATTGCAGAGAAGCTTGGAAGCTATGACTTCCTCACGGACCTCACAAAGCTAGACAAGCTCGAGGCCTTTATCAAAGACAAGCCCTTCCGCAACGAGTGGGCGGTCATCAAGCGTGAGAATAAGCTGCGCCTAGCTAAACATATCAAGGCCACTACGGGCTTCGATGTCAACCCCGATGCCCTCTTTGACGTGCAGGTGAAGCGTATCCATGAGTACAAGCGCCAGCAGCTCAACATCTTCGGAGTCATCCACCGCTACTTGACTATCAAGGCCATGTCAGCCGAAGAGAAGAAGAAGGTGGTGCCTCGGGTTTCCGTCTTCGGAGGCAAGGCAGCCCCCGGTTATTGGATGGCGAAGACTATTATCCATCTCATCAACAAGGTGGCCGATGTAGTGAACAACGACCCGGAGGTTGGCGATCTTTTGAAGGTTGTCTTCATCGCGGATTACAACGTCAGCAAGGCGGAGATTATCTGCCCTGCTTCGGATATCAGCGAGCACATCTCCACTGCCGGTACCGAAGGCAGCGGCACGAGCAACATGAAGTTCGTCCTGAACGGCGGTCTGATCATTGGAACCTGCGATGGAGCTAACGTAAGTCTTCTTCACATATCCACCTTCCATTCTGTACTAACCCAACTCACAGATCGAAATCACCCGTGAAATCGGCGAGGAGAACATCTTCCTCTTCGGCAATCTCGCCGAAGACGTCGAGGATTTGCGTCACCGCCACTTCTACGGCGACTTCAAGCTGGACCCTAATCTGGAGCGTGTCTTCGAGACAATCAGAGACGACGTGTTCGGCAACAGCTCTGACTTCTCTGCGCTCATTAGCTCCATCGATGAGCACGGCGACTACTACCTCGTCTCGGATGACTTCAACTCCTACATCACCACGCACGCGATGATCGACAAGGCCTTCTTGAATAAGGATGAGTGGCTGACCAAGTCCATTCTCTCTGTCGCGCGCATGGGATTCTTCTCTATGGATCGCGTCACTAATGAGTACGCTGATGGTATCTGGAATATCGAGCCTCTGGTTGTTAAGGACTAAACACACTTTTTGACAAAGGCAGTGCTAAGTCTTTCTTCTTTTGGTTTGTCGTCTCATTGATTAATGAACTCCACGGCTTTGGTTGTTATCCTTAGCATTAATAGTATATCAATCATTCTTATAAGTTAGTTATAGAAGTCATCTAGACATGGTATTCAAGCCATTGAATAGAACACTTTATATGCAATTGCTAAAGAACTAGGTATATATACATCTCTATCTCGACATACAGAATATATTACCTCGAGGCAGTAATGACTGATATCGAAAACACCCACTCCATGCCAAACCAAGAAATCTAAACATAACATGAAACCATAAAATACGTCAAAACCCCCAAATCGACACCCTCACTCCTGAATCGTCGGCTCAGTCTGCCTAGGCTCCGAGAAATAATCCGGCCAAAGCGCCATCTTCTCGTCCCGGGAAGGCGTAGCCGTGGCCATAAGCGTAGGAACCTAAATCACCACCATTAGCAAAAAACTCTTTCAATCTTTCAATCTTCTCTTCAAGGGACCAAAAAACATACAGCCTCCTTACTAGAAATCCGCCTCCACATGTTCGCACGCGGGTTATACCGCACCGGCTTCCCCACACCACCCGTCTTCCTCTGATCCTCCAAACTAATCGCCTCAACCTCTTTCTTAACATCCGCAAAGCTATCAAACGGCGTATAAGTAATCCCATGCTCGAGACAGTACTCCTCGAGTCTGAGCCCGCGGCGCGCGAATAGCACATCAGCTTCGCGGGCCGCGGCGAGATCCGACACGCCGTCGCCGATGAAGACGATCAGCGGGATCTCGTCCGGCTCGCATTCGGCTTGGGCTTTGGTGCGGGCTTGGTTTACGCTCTCGGCTTTGTCGTGGCCTGAGGCTGTATTGTCGCGCCAGACGGGTTTCCAAGGGATACCGCCTGGGGCTTGGAGGTCGTTTGCGACGATTTGGATTGAGGAGGCCTTTATGTGGGAAGATGTGTTAGTGGGTTTTTGAATGGACGATTTATTGATTTTTTGATTGATGGCGGGGATTGGTTTTTGACATTACCTCTTTCTCGCCGAGGAAGATGTCTAGCGTGCGCTGCAGAACGGGCTTTAGGCCTGCGCTGATCACGTTGAAGGGGAAGCCCTCGCGGACGCAGTACTGGTGGAATTCTCGGAAGCCAGAGTCGAGTTCGAGGTTCTTTTCCATTATGTCGAAGCCGTCGCCGAAGGGGATGCTGAGGGATCCCCACATGTCGTCTGAGATGTCGCGGAAGGTTCGCTCGCCGGTTTTGAATTGTTCTTCGAGTTTGTTGCGGTAGGCTGCGCCGCAGCCGAGGTTGTCTACTAGGACGTGGCCGGTGTCTTGGAGGAAGATTGTCCCGTCGAAGTCTAGGGGTGTTAGTTTTGGGGTGTTCTGGGACTTAGGGCTTGTGGTTGGGATTGGAGGGTAGGGAAGAGTTTGGGGTATATGAATGGGCTTTGCATACCGGAGAAGATGATGATCTTTCTCTTTTGGTTGTCATTATTTGCCTGTGATATAGCCATTTTGATATAGACTTTAGAAGGGTTTGTTCTATAGATAGATGGGGTATGTGGAGGGAGTGGTTTGGAAAGATACGAAGTGCAAATTTAAAAGAAATGAAACAGACCTGCCAAAGTCACGATCCTAAGTACAATTCCTGTAGAACCTGGCATTTAGCCATAGCAAACAAGGTAGACAAGAAGTATGACGTAAGGAGATCTAACGACATCAGTGTGGGCCGCTGAGGGGGCTCATCTGCACATCGTGAGAAGTCGAGGTGTTAATATGGGGTATAACAGCCGCTGATTGGCTGGTCGTCAAGGGTCCGCATAATATCAGTGGAAGCCGACCGAGTCTTTGATCGGATTGGTCAATGTCATTGTGGATGCATGATACATCATACATTTGTCAAGTAAAATGGTGCAAATTAAAAAAAAAAGACTAAGCCGTTAACTCGGCAACCCGACGTTCCAGTTCCGGTACAGCCCGTAACTGCAAGTCCAACTCTTCCTTCTCACTGCGAGATTGTTAATAACCGCTCGGCGGAAAGGAAGGGCGGAAACTTACTCTTCGAGTTTCAACCGCCGCTCCCAGTCAAGACTGGTGAAGATGTAGCCGCCCTGTCCATCGAACTGCAGGATCTTCTGGTGATACTTCCAGAGACTGCGTCGGTGCGAGACAGTCATGAGAGTAATGCCAAGTTTCTTGGCCGTCTCGTACATAATCTTCTCAATCTCCAGCGTCACCGAGGATGTACACTCGTCCAAAATGGCAAACTTGGGTCGGTGATAGAACAACCGAGCCATAGCGATGCGCTGCTGCAGACCACCGGATAGTACGTCGCGCCATTCTTCCTCTGCATCCCAGCCTCCCGGACGGTCTACGACGGACGCGATATCAACCACTGATAGGATCTCGTAGAGATCGGCGTCAGTGACACCCTTAGCGCGCATCTCGCGCACTCCATCTGGGTAGATCACTTGCTGTCGCAGGGTCCCACGAGACAGATATGGTCGCTGGGGAATGTAGAAAATATCATGGAAAGGGGGTTTTTTCACCGTACCTCCGTATACTGGCCAGAGCCCGCCCAGGATCCGGAAAAGAGACGATTTGCCGCACCCGTTGGGTCCGACGATCAGGAGGTGGTCGCCGGGGTTAACGGTGAAGGAAAGCTTACGCACCAATACGTCGCCGTTCGGGGATACGATCGGTACATCGATGAACTCAATTGCGTCGCTTTCTAAAACTTTACCCCGACCAGACAGCACCTCCGCATTCTCTGCCGTCGAAGCGGAAGATACCAACTTCTTCTCGAACCTTCCAGCAAGGAGGTCGTCCATCACTTCCAATAATGAGGAGACACGCGAAGTGTAGCCAGCCAGCTCTGAGATTTCTTTGTAGGAGAACATCAATCGGCCAAAAGCATCTGAGGAGGAAAGCAACATTCGGCGATTGGTGACGAAGCCTGGGAGTCATCAGAATTTAAAAATCCAATACCAAAGGGCAACAACTTACTTTCAGTGTGATCTGCCATGCTGTGGGTAGTCTGACCGGGGATCTTGAAGAAGACAGGCACACTACATAGCACCAAGCCCATAGCTCCCCAGAAATACTTGATCACAAAGTCCTCCATGAATCCGTGGTAAAGTCGCCGGCGCAGAATGCGGTTCACATGTTTGATCAGCGTGAAATAACCCTTGTCCAGGGTATCCTTCTCGGCCTCGTGGCCGTGGTAAAGCGCCACTTCTTCATTGTACTCAATAAGCCGTGAATGGAGGAAACGGAACTCCCCCTCCAGCCGAGCCTCATCGGCAACATATTTGCCAAATGGTGGAGTCAGCATACGCATGACGTTGGCGGACAACTGCACTAGCAGACTCATGATGAACAGCCCTTCACCTCCCACGTTCTTGGAGAGCGAGTAGTTGTAAATAGCCATATCGAGAATGGGCTTAGCTAAATTGGAATACAGTTCTGCTAGACTGTCTGAGAAGCGGGACACATCGACCGTGACAAGTTGGTCGGGATTCTTGATTCGATCGTCCAAGGCGGAGATGGCATAGAAAGTCATATTAGACAGATACTTCTCGTGGATATAGTCCGTGAGACGCTTGCGGTAGCTGAGAGCAAGCTTGCACTGATGGTAGGCGAGCTAATACGGCGAAACATCAAGTCAGCAAATGTACTGAACGGTCGCATCTAGCACCGGAAACCGGAGACTTACCATAGAATTCGTAAAAGTAGCAGGGATAGCCACAATCATCCACCAAACAAGACCGAGCAAGAAATCCTTCCCCTTACCGCGCACCAAGTTGCTCACAAGTCTTCCGTCCAGCTCGGCGACGTACAAACTAAGTATCGTCCGCAGCACCAGGAAGACGGTGTGGCTTACCAGCAGCCGTAGCTCCTTGCTCCGCCATCCGGGTATAACGATCTTCAATAAACGGAGCAAGTTCTTGAAGAATTCCCGGTTGATCCCCACGCGCTTCTTGCGGGGTTGTTCCTCATCACCTAGACTACTGGTGCCGGGCCGTCGGAGCAGCTCTACCTGCTGTGACGCGGCTTTCTGCTCGGAGATGGCATTGTGGATTCGTTTGGCGAGCGCGGCAAAGAGGGCGAGGTATACGGCACGTGAGATATTGGTTCGGTTTCGCAGGTAGAGGGATGTTAGGCTGGAGAGGATCTGTTTGATGGAGCGTTCGGGCGGTAGTAGTTTGGACTGAGCGGCCATGGCGGAGCTATTGGATGCTTATCAGCCAGATTCGGGCGCATACATGTCCGCTGTTGAGTGAGTTGAGGGGGTCGAAGGGTTAGGAGTTGAGGAGAAAGAGGCTATTGCCATGACGGAGGTGACATGTGATACCCCAGGAAACTGGGGGAGATTCAGCCGAGGAATCCACTTTCAGGTAATCTCACTGGTCTAAGGTAGTCAACACCATCTTACTTGTAATATATACTCGAACGCATTTAATGAGAAAAATATACATAGAGATGGGGAATTCATTAATTAGAAAGAGTGATACAGCCCTGAAACAACCACATGTATATACATATATGTAGTCATGCAGAAACGGTAATGACAATGACACTGAAGATGCCAATGATAACAAGATTCCGCCCTTCTCTCGTGCCCGAAACGTATATACAAAAGAACGGGGTGAGTAGATAATACTCAAAGACATGCGCTAGTATGTACAGGTTTGATAAAACGCAAGCTTGCAGAAGAATACATAAGGGCCAAGATCATAAATCGAGATGATATAAATCAAAATAAGAAAACCTAAGACGAGGATTTGCTCTCTGGTTCATTGCGGCCTGTCCTGGGTTCTACCTGATCCCTCGGACGGATACCGCTGTTGATTTGGGCGGCGATCTGGGCCTGCTTGAAGCGCTCGAATGCTTCGGTGTCTTGCTGCTGAGCAGCGTAGAGTTCGTCGACGGTGGTCCCAAGATGGTTAAAGGCCACGTCGGCATCAAAGTCATCGAATTCAGAGAGAGACTGCTCATCGTGGAGAATATCAAGCTTTTGCCGGAGAGCGGCAATATGCGAACTATCGTCCTCGTATTCGAAAGGCTCGTCGTCCTCTCCAGGAACAAGAGACGGGTTGAGGAAGTCGCGGCGGAGGTTCTGGCCGATACGGTGAATGTGTCCTTCTTGGGAGGTCATGGCCCGAGAGTGGAGGGAAGTTACGGAGCTGGTGCGAGAATGGCGAACGGCATATTGGTCCGTGTCTTCCTCGTCGAAGCAATTTTCCTCAAGCTGGCTGCTGTTCAGATTACCGCTAGCAAAGAAGGAACTGCTTCCATCATCATCACCGGAGTGTTGAGAGATGGTGTCGGGTACAGTAACAGTGGGCGGGAGCTGAGGAACAATACGAGTCTCTGGGTATTCGTCCTCAAAGCGTTGGATCATCTTATGCAAGGTCACGTCCAAAAATTGCAGGCGGCCATAATTCGCGTCATTACCCGCACGATCTTCGCGAATAAGAGCCGACTGGATCCGGACTCTGATATTGCGCGCGGATTCCAGCAGATTTTTCGACATGTCGCGAGGCCGCTTAGTAGGAACAGCTCGGGACCTGCGGCGTCGGGGCGTCGTGGTACCACTGGGCGGTAGAGATTGCTCACCAAGAAGATCCAGACCTTGCTGGTCCAGATTCCCGAGACAAACACCCAATGCTTTGACGACACCCGTGCCACCAATAACATAATCCTCGTCGGGAGCGGCGTCATCATCATCATCATAAGGCTCTTCGGAAATAACCGAGTGGCCGACAATATGCTGTAGAATGTCTGGATATGGGATATCCTCAAGCGACGAAGTAGAGCCAGGAAGCTCGACTGCAATGGCGCCGCCTTCCAGATTCCGCAGCGAGTAAGCCACAATCTGTGATCCTAGAGCTTTGACAACTTCGTTGTTTTCTGCGCTGGGAACATCGATATCGACTGCAATAATTGTCCGTGAAACACGGACAGCTGTCATCATAGACGCATACACAGCGCATGCTTCTTCCTGAGCAACGGGGTCTGTAGTGGACGCCAACTCCACAATCTGCTGATTCTCAAGAATGTTCAGATGACACAAGCTGGGGCACTCCGGCAATACCTCGGCAAGACCAATGACATGATCCGGTGACAAGTTGACGTCAGCGAGATGGAAGCGCTTCAAAGACGGCATCTTCGGCAGGAAGCGACGGAAAGCCCCCAGCGCGCTAGGCTGCGAGGAGAATAACTCGCGATTGTGAGAGAAATCAATGAACCGAAGGTTGTGGATTTGCGCAAGCGATTGGAGCAATGGGGAAATCACCGACGGGTTGAGCGAGCAATCCGCCAGACTCAGCGCATAAAGCGGTGTTTCAGGTTCGATCGCGGCTGTGAGTAGATCAAGATCATCCTTTATAGCGTTGCCACCTAGATCCAATCCTTCGCACTGTCCAGCTTTGAGGTACTCGATCACATGCTCCAGACCCTCTCTTGTCAGACCATTGTTCGCAAAGCCAAGTCTTCGTAGACCCATTTTGGTGGTTGCCTGGCAGATCTGCTTTACAGCGTCGACCGAAGGATAACACTCGCTCAAAAGCAGTTCTTCAAGATGATCCCCAGCAAAGCGCTCTGCCAGGGCATTCGCAAAGACCATTCGCACGTCGGCCGTAGGCTGGGATTGGCTGGTTGGGCCACGAACATCGACCGCAACTTGGCCTCGAGGGAAAGGAATACCTGACAAATCAATAGATTTCAGAGATTTCGATAGGTGCACAAAAAGGCTCATGTGGCGCCATCCTTCCCGTCCAATTTTCGGGTTGTCTTTCAGAGAAAGCTTTTCCACAACACCGTATCGTTCCTGCTCAGTGGAGTCTGAAGATTCCGGTCTTCGCAATCGTCTCCGTCGATAGCGCATCTGCTCTACCGTCTTGGTGGCAAGCAGAGCTGAAAGGATGGCTCGCACAGAAGTATCTGTCAATGCACAATTTTCAAGAATGAGTTCACGAACTGGAACGACCGCGAGCCAATCGCTGAATGTTGTCAAATCCTGTGAGGTCATCGGAAAATTGCTCAGATCCAAAGCCGCTACCGTGCCAGGTGACTCGGCCAGTGTTGATGAAGGCTTGGAGATCTCGTCAACCACTCTCTTGAGAACAGGCGTCTCACGTAGCTGGCAACAACGGCGATATATGCGCACTGGATCGGTTGTCGGGTGACTTTGCGTTTTGGGCCGAGTGACACCTGGCGCTGGACCTTGAGAATACTCTTCGTCATCGTCATTCTCTGCATCGAGTTGTAACGGAATTATACCGTTCGCGACTGCCTGTCTTCGCTTTCTCTCCTTCCGTTCCTTCCGTTCTGCCTCAGACCTCTTCTTCCTCTCTTGCTTCCTTGTGTGGTCAATCACTTCCCCGTTTGGAGCAGGGTCATTAGATGGCTTGCTGCTGGTGGTATTTGTCGGGGTAGAGCTAGACTGGGCCTTCGCATCGCCGGTGGCCAGAGCAGGAGTCGAGGACGCGCTATTCTTATCAGCCAATGTAGCCTGGGGATGCTTCAAAGCACCAGCTTCGTCTTGGTCCTTCAATTTGAGATCAGCCTTCTTAGACTTATGGTTAGTAGCTTCAGTTAGAGGCTGAGGCTGTCGTAATTGATTGGTTGGAGGAGCTCCCTCGTCATCGTCCCGATGGGAGACACCCGCAATTTCAACATCCACACAGAACGCTACGCGGTTGAGCTTGGCCTGGTTCAAGTCCGCAATCTTGCATCGTTGCCGATTTTTATCGACATTCATCACGCGACGTTGAGAGACCACGACATTGGGATTCAACTTGGGCAACCCACCCGAGTTGGACGAGAACTTGCGTAGTGCATTGTGAATAAAGGAGGGTGATTTGGGCGATGTCGAAGTAAAGGACTCTTCTTTCCTCTCTTCTTCCCTGTCCCTCAAAGAGTAGGCAGCGCCGAATGGGTTATGCGTATCAATGGTTGGGGTTGTTTTCGGACTCGCTGGAGGGGCCTTCAGACTAGGTTGAGACGGTGGGGTAGTCCCAGATGAGAACTTCGAGCTTAGACTGGAGATCCACGAGTTTCGTCGTCCGATGGGCTTAGGGTCTGTCTTTCGCGGCGCTGGTGATGGCGTAGATGGCTTTTGCTCCTCGCTCTTCTCAATTGGTTGGGGTTTCGCTTGTACTGGCGCTACATTATTCTGGGGGGCTGGCTTCGGTTCTGCGGTGGAGGGGGCTGGCGTTGGGCGTGGTGGCGGGTTGCTGTTGGAACGAGATCTTCGGTGTGACTTAGGTTGGGGGGTCGTTGGCTCTGCCTGTGTACCAGGCTTATCGCTTGCTGATACTGACTTTGTGCGAGACAAGTGATCTAAAGACTCAAGAGTATCAGAAGCTATCCCGACTTCAGATCTCCAACAACCCTATCCTGGGGTTGGGGATGTGCTGGCATAAAAAGTGGAACTCACCTTTTTGCGAATGATGAAGCCAGCTCACGTCCACAGTCTGAACTCCTTCCATTTTGAAATCACTCGAGAGTCAAGAGACGGAACAAAGTAACTTCGCAATGTCCAGGTGGTTGTCGAAGGTTTATCAGCGGTGTGGCGTCGTATAAAGAACGCAATGACTGGATAGGACTAGACAGAACGACGCATAATTGGCTGGTCCCCCACTTTTCGCTGATAATCGCAAAACAGTTCGAAAGGAGAATCAGGTGGACAACACTAGGGGCCCGATGACAACGAATAAGGTGGAAATGCTGGGAAATGCGGGAGATGGAATATGCCGTATAATCTGCGACCAAGAGCTCGCCAGATGCGTTAAATCACTATTACAGTAAATGACAACCCAACATCATCGCCTGTTTCAGCAAGAGATACATGGTGAAATCATGCGAGGGGTTACTAAAAGGGATAGAGAAAGTGGCATTGGAGAACTTCCGAATGCACAATTAAGCATAGACTAAGGTGACATAATCGGGGGGAGGGGGCACGTGAGTGTTCTCATTGGGGGAGTTAATATAATTGGAGTAGAAGGGTTGGCGATTGGACCAATCCGGAGAATGTTCGGCTCTCCGGTGGCGGAGGACACAAGAACCATGGAGAACAACATGTCTACGGAGTACATTATTATAAATCGTGGAGTTTACGGTGGATTAGCCGGGAGAGCCGGGGTGTTAGAAAGGAGTTTGGTTTCGTAAAAAAGGGGGAGGATACTGGTGTCGAACACCATAACGCTCAATACGGGTATCCGCGATGATAGAAACACCTAAAAACGCCACCATGTCCTGGGGGAAAAACGGCCGGGCAGAGACAACAAAGAAAAAGAAAAAAACCTCCCCCACGCAAACCCCTCGGAGGGGTAGTTATGCGATGAAAAGAAACAGTCATCACGGCGTCAAGCGGACCTCGGGAACTAGGGATATTCCGCCGCACACAAGCCCCTATCTATTCCAGACCCGGAATATTCTTGAGATATTCCCAGCCATACTCCTCGTCGGGTTTCTCGGCTTCCATGCCGAGCGCAAAGCGGTAGGCACGAACTTCATTCTGCAGACCAGAGATGACGCGAGTAGGGACATCATCTTCTTCGCATTTGAGACGGTAGGCGGTGCGAATCATTTCGGCACATTTCATGGTTTGAGCATGCCAGTAGTCCCGGTCGAGTCGGCTTTCCAGATGGGCGTCACGCTCAGCTTGGAGGAGATTGTTGTAATGCTTCTTCTGAGCAAGGTAGTGCATGTTGTTGTTCTGGCAGTAATTGCGGATTTGCTCGAGCATGATACCCACGGCGTGCTCAAACTCCCGGACCATCTTCATGTTTTCCTCACGATGGTATTTATGATCGGCACTCACAAGTTTTTCCTTGGCCAGGGCACGCTCAAGTTCGGCAATCCGGGCAGCTGCTTTAGGCGTTAGTAAACGAAGATGTGATCAATATTCCTAAGGACATACTAAGATTGTCACCCTGCTGGCCATTCGGGCCAGAGCTATCGACAATACCGTTCTTCTAAATGTGTGTTAGCTATATATCCAATTTGAGCAACTCGAATGCATGTTGGCCCACATACCACAATCTCCTCGGCATTCGCGACGATGTTCTTGGTCACATCCCGGTTATTCTTCAAGACGTCGCTCAGTTCCACAACCATCTCATAGAGATGATGCAAGTCCATCTGATGGCCAGCGTTCATCGGAATTGCCGCACCCATGGCGCCCATTCCGCCGCCATTGATCTGGCCGCTGACCGAAGTGTGGGAAGGGGAAGGAGACGGAGTTTGGCGAGGAGGCATGTTGGATATGCTCATCGCGCTACTACTGTTTTCGACGTAACCTGAGAAGTTGCCGTTACCGTTACCGTTGGTGGCCATACTAGACGTGTTCGTGTTCATAGAGACGTCGGCGTCGGCGAAAGCGCGATTCAGTTCCTCGAGTTGAGGGTCGTCAGGAGTGAAGGATTTCGGAGTGCTAGTGCCGTTATCTTCGTCGAACCAAGAGGCGTGATTTTCCACGCCTAGGACCTCCGATTGAAACTTCTCAAGGTCACGGCGAGTAACGTGCGTGGAGCGACGGCGATGCCCACGCGTGAAAGCCTTGGAAGGGGAGGGGGAAGTGTCGCCCTCGATGGTGGCGGGTGCACTCAAACCAGGGACAGTATCGTCACTGTCACTCGAGTCTGAATCGATAGCAATCTCATCCACGGAGCTCTGATCAGATTCACAGGTTTCTAGTAGGCAGTTGACAAGCGTGTTGTGCTGGGAGCTCACGCTAGCAGGTGGGGCTAGCGACGGGTCAACACGTGATTGGGGTAGCTCACGTGATGGTCCCATTCCAACAAGCTCCCTCGTCTTCTCGAGAGCACTCATTCGGATAGAAAATAAGAACTATGTGGCTGCAAAGAAAATCAACAAAAAAAAGTCATCTAGGAAAGTTGGTTTCCCAACATATCGGTGGGGCGAAGCCTATTTCTTTCCGACCGGACAAGTGTGTAAGTGTAATGGATCAATGACGGTCGAGAGTTGGAGAGAAAACGGGCTCTCGCCCAGTATGAAATGCTCAAATTTGCTCCGGTCCAATCACACGTGCTCTCTGAAGTCTATAATTCAATTCCTGCAGTCATACTTGGCACGTACTTGCCGTTCTCATGTTTTTTGTTGACATCCATGAATGATGAGGCTGGCTATACTAGTGTCGCCCTGATGGAAGGTACATATGGCAATATTGAAACATTGTAGCTAGGGCAACGTGCTCGAAATCCAAGTAGAAAATTAAGGAAGCTACCATCGAGGCATTGGCAATGTGTAATCGTGTAGTATTGTATGCACATGTGGGCATGGGGTATTATAGTTTCGTCAAGGCATATCCAACAGGGCTTGCAATCTCTGATCAGAGGCTGGAAGTGAGTAATCGTGAGTTTCAAGGGCACCGCTGCTTCTTTTCTGTTGTGCAATCCGGCCTCCAACTCTGGCTACGAGCATGCGCATTTTCTCCAATTCTTGAACAAGTTCTCCATCTTTAGTAATAAGATTGGGTTGAATGTCCTTTTGGGGATCTTCAAATGGCTCGAGTAATCGTCGAAGATGTTGCAACTGATCAAGCCGCCGTTGCCGTTGCTGCCTTTGACTGTCGAGGCTCGCGAGACGTTCACGGAGCTGGAGGTATCTGTGCGACTTGGTGTAAGGCTGGTGGAACTTCAATCAGAGAAAATCCGGATGTGTTTGTAAACTGACCTTGCCTGATCCTCTTCGCTTGCTTCCTGGCTTTCCAATATGACAGGCATCTTTGTGATGTTCCTAAATCATTGTCAGTGTTGTCATACCTTGTATAGAGATGGATGGAAACTTACATCCCCCTTGACAAATCCGTTGTTTTTTCAATACCTCGAGCAAAAGCATCCCGACTTCTTGCCTCTTGACTAACCGAAGACCAGTACAAGTTTGCAATCTGTTGGGCGACATGGTGTATCGCTTGGGAGGAATAAACAACGCGATTGTGCTGCTTAGCAGCTGCATTTACTATAGTGCTATGAGTATCGTATTCATCTTGTGTATATGGGCGCAAATCCGTAAAGAATTGTGCTGTTCAATTGTGATTTGTGTTCTGACCTTTGTGTAGGACATCTTCAATGACCTTGTCACTCAGATCACCTTCTGTGGTTTCAGCAGCATAGTTTCGCCAGTCTTCGGGTAAATCGAGGCTCTCGGAGAAAATACGGACTTGGCTCCAGATAAACGCAGATTTCAACTCAGATACAGTTCGAGTTGAATCCATATCGAACAAAATCCAATGGTGTTAGAGAAGTACCATTGTTGATTCTCCAAAAGTCCCGCGATCTTCTCTGAGCACGACCTTATCGATAAGACATCACGTGTCTCTCCATAAATACGATTTTGCGGGATGGACAATAACGATTTGGGTAATAGACCACGATAAAATAAGGGAAAGGATTTAAAGGGTAACAATTGAATAATGGTTTGATCTTTCATACATGATCTTAGTAGGGTAATAATGGGAATTCTTGGTGTGGAGTATATCCTCGGTCTAGAGTGTATGTACCTCGGCAATCTAACCGTCCAGATCGCTTTCAAAGTATGTAATCCAATTCGTGCAATTCCCATCACAACTCATTTAATTTACGAGTTAGAAATAAACTGCAGCATATCTTGCAGTGACCCCTATCATCACTAGCAGCCTCCTTCATTATCATCTCAAGATGGCAGAGATCAAGCGACCGGTGGGCTTACTGTTCGACGTTGGAGGAGTGTGTGTAAGTCGGCCACTTGACCCATAAATTAAAGATACATATCTGACGAATCTCTAGGTTGCATCCCCGCTACAAGCTATTCTTGACTATGAGATTATCCGAAACATCCCATCAGGATGGATCAATTTCAGTATCTCGCGAACCGCGCCCAACGGTAGCTGGCACAAGCTCGAGCGAGGCGACATCGGGGTGGACACGGACTTCTTTGCGGGGTTCAATGCGGACCTGGCAAGCCCGGAACTATGGGCGCAATTCCAACAGCAACTTCAAAAGAAACAAGGCACAAATGGTTCTACCATTCCTCCAATGCCGACGGTGGATGCAGAATGGCTATTCTGGGAGATGATGCGGGTATCTCGCACGACAGACCCCTATATTTACCCAGCTCTGAAGAAATTGAGAGAGTCAGGACAGTTCCTGATGGGCGCTCTATCCAACACCATTATATTCCCCGACGGACATGAATACAATGAAGCATCCGAAGTGAAGAAGCAATTCGATTTCTTCATCTCGTCTGCGCACACGGGCCTCCGCAAACCTGACCCCAAAATTTACCAGGTGGCGTTGCAGGAGATGGACAATTTAGCTAAGAGACGAGGACTAGCCGGAGCTAATCCCGACGATGTTGTGTTCTTCGATGACATTGGCGAGAACCTGAAGGGGGCGAAGAACGCTGGCATGCGTACAGTCAAAGTCATACTTGGAAAGACCCAAGATGCGGTCAAGGAGCTGGAGAAGCTCACAGGCCTTCAGTTGCTGGAGGAGGACAAGGCACGATTGTGAGGCGTTATACATAGAAGTTTGTTATTTCAAGAAGAATATCGGAATTATATGTAGAAAGGATGAAGGATTAAGAATTCTATATCATTTTCTTAATTTTCCCAATTTTTCCCCATTTTCCTGAATTAATTGTCGTTGTTTCTTGTCTTTCCCATGGTTAAGAAGTTGATGGTCACTCGTCGCCGACCTCATTTTCTGGCGGGGGATGCAGCCACACGCTAAGCGAAATCCCGCACAAAGTCGACCCACGAAAATTTCCCACTTCCTCTTCTTCGTCCATCTCCAGCGCCCCTCGACACCCCGTCAAAATGGTGAGTTCGATCGCTGATGGCTGAAAAAGCCATTATGCATTCCTTTTGCATTTTATTTCCTCTCCGATTCCCATCGGAGCCGGGTCCCTGCAAGTTGCTTCGGCGTAATTTCTGAAGCGTTAATTGCTGACTCGCGATGGTTTACAGCCTTTCACCAAGAACGTGAAGTCCAACGCCTACTTCAGGTGAGTTCAATCCTTTTATCCTGTGCTAATCTTTTGGGATTTTCTGTTTGCTAACTTGTTTTCAATTATAGTCGCTTCCAGACTAAGTACCGTCGCCGCCGCGAGGGTAAGACCGACTACTATGCTCGCAAGCGCCTGATCACCCAGGCCAAGAACAAGTACAACGCGCCCAAGTACCGCATGGTTGTTCGCTTCACCAACCGCGACATCATCACCCAGATCGTCTACTCCGAGGTCACCGGTGACAAGGTTCTTGCCTCTGCCTACGCCCACGAGCTCCCCAAGTACGGCATCGACCAGGGTCTTACCAACTGGGCTGCTGCCTACGCCACCGGTCTGCTCCTTGCCCGTCGTGTTCTCAAGAAGCTCAACCTTGACGAGCAGTTCAAGGGTGTCGAGGAGGCTACCGGTGAGCACTCCCTCACCGAGGCCATCCAGACCGATGATGGCGAGCGCCGCCCCTTCAAGGCCTTCCTCGATGTTGGTCTTGTCCGTACCTCCACCGGTAACCGTGTCTTCGCTGCCATGAAGGGTGCCTCCGACGGTGGTATCTTCATCCCCCACTCCGACCGCCGTTTCCCCGGTTACGACATCGAGTCCGAGGAGCTCGACGCCGAGACCCTCAAGAACTACATCCACGGTTCCCACGTCTCCGAGTACATGGAGAACTTGGCTGATGAGGATGAGGAGCGCTACAAGTCCCAGTTCGTCAAGTACATCGAGAACGAGATTGACGCTGGTGACCTCGAGGAGATCTACGCCGATGCCCACAAGGCCATCCGTGAGGACCCCTTCAAGGCCGATGAGGATGCCGGTCCCAAGAAGACCAAGGAGGAGTGGAAGGCCGAGTCCAAGAAGTACAAGGTCAACCGTCTCACCCACGCCGAGCGCAAGGCTCGCGTCGAGGAGAAGATCCGCAAGCTTGCCGCATAAGCGTCTCGCTTCTTATCTTTACGACCAAAAGTTCCTACCAATATTTCAATTGAGGGAATAGGCTACTGCCGGCGTTCTATTCATGTGATGTAGTTTTTGACGGATCATGGCACATACCACTTTTTATTTTTACTATCGGAAGGGGGTTTTTTCCTGGGAGCAATTAGTTCGGTGTTATTCCAAGGCAATTTCTTTACTCAGTTCTAACTGCTCCCCAATGTCCATCTGTCTTGTTCCCTCATTTGCCTCCTTGCATTTGCCTGTAGCTGGGACCTTTATAGTGTAGTTGAACCCACTTTCCATCTTGTAACTATTCTTAGTATTGTGTTATGCAGGCGATATTCTGTTTATTCTGATCATTATTTTTATGCACGTAATTCTTCGTAATTACATCATGCCATTGTGGTTCGTCCCAGGTTAAAATTAGATCGACGCCATGCACACAAGCGCCAATGCCGATATGATAAGTGGCTCCCAACCCCACGAGTGCGTTGCCAGCGCAGCAACTTAGTGGCTGTTCAATGAGCAAGGATCACCCCAAAAAATAAAAAAGAGCGCTAGATCGTTCCATTGCCTGCCATCAATCTCCGCTTTAAGGGGCCGTTGGATCCCCGAAAAGATGAACCTGCAATTATTTCACCTCTTGTATATATATCCCCCACCTACATAATCTACACATCCCACCATGAAGAGATACCAGCAACACACCCACGCAAGTTGGCACCGCGCCTACACAGGCAAATTCGATTGCCCCTGGTGCCAAAACACTCACCGGCCAGAGAGCACAACACCCCAGAGCCCGAACCACAACACCCGCAAACCCGCACAGGCACAGGACTCAGACAATGGCAGGTCCAGCAGAGCGAATGCGACTCCGACACCTGTAGGACAACGGATAGCTCCCGAGAGCCCCGAGAGCCCCGAGAGCCCCGAGAGCCCTGAGAGCTCCGACGTTCCTGTTGAAGAGCAGGCTGCTGGCACACCGCCCGAACCGCAGACCCCAGAGTCGGCTCCAGAGTCGGCTCCGGACGTGAACGACGAAGAGACACCAGAGCCGGAATCCGAGTCAACTTATACGCCGTTTAATATGGGACGGACCTCGAGGCACGGGAATAACGCGTCGCGTCCGCCGCTTCCCGAGGAGTGGACGAAGGAGGTTGAGGATCAGGAACATGGGTAGGAGATTCTAGCTGATGGCTTTGGTCACCGCTGGTTCGTCACTGTGCTGACGTGTTTTTTTTTCGATAGTGCTGCGGAATGGAATCCACCGACTGTGGAAACTTAGCGCTTTGGGCTAGATACGTTCTAGGGAGTCTCGAATGCCCGGCAACCACATTGACTCTCCTAGAGGAGTCTCGAGAAAGACTTGGTTGGAATACATCGAGTCGAAACATTCACATTAAACTACAGATATCAGGATCTTGCTTCGCACAAGTTTCTATTGTACATAATTTCACCAATCTATTTTGACTCTAATCATACCCCCTTGGCCTATCGTCATCAGCAGTCAACTCGCTTGATATTTCGCAAATGGCCTCCGGCGTTAAGTTCAGTCCTGCATCTTGCAAGGTAGCGGATCGTCTGGGCCCGTTCTTCCGTACATTCCTCGAGGAGGCGCGTGGTTTGAGAACTATTCCGCGGTAGTTGATTAATGAGAGATTTAGCCAACTCATAGTCGCCTGCCGACTCGGTTTCTGTGGAATTCACCCATGCCATTTAAGGTTCGTATGAGTCGTCATCATCATCAATCATCAGCCTGGGCCACCAGTGAACACTCTGCCTCGTCAATGTCACCGAGAGCCTGTTATGCACTGCACTCCAATGCTTTAATGGCTTCTTTGTTATCTTCACTCGATCCCTTGCGTAGGATAGCTTTGGCCTTATCGTACCCTTTGATTAGCTCTGCTCGTGCCTTGTCTAACAAGTTGAGTTCTTTGTCGATATCTGGACGCCGAGATCGAGGTTGAGGCCGAGGTTTCCATCCCAGACCAGGGGCAGAACCAGAACCAGCGTCATCATCGGAGTTGGATTGAAATCCTGTTGGCTTAGCTCGAGCGGGGTTTGCGTACCAAACCTTGTCACGAGCACCGCGCATTTCTGCAGCCATAATCTGGAATACCTTGCGAAAATCATCGGGTTTTTCCCAGAGAACACCTATCCTTCTCTGGTTGGCGCGAAGCAACCCACGATAGTGACCAATTCTCTGCGGGTTGCCAGACATTTCTGCATCCGAAAGCTCGTTGTCAAGTCTCACTTGCTCAAGGCGTGGATCGGAGTAGTCTTTTATGATCTGGTCAATCAAGTCACATGGATCGAGTTCTTCGTAAGCCCATGATATCCGTATTCGACTGAATTGCAATGCCGACAAAAGGAAACTGGGGTCCTCGCCCTTAATGCTAGACAGTTTAGACTTGGCCATAGCCCAGTCTTCCTTCAACTCAGCTTCCTTGGATTGCTTTTCAAGCTCTTTGTTAGTGCGGATTTGAGTTTCGCGACAGACGTCCAAAGCCTTGAGGAGAGGTTCGAGGATTTTCTTGTCAGGGATCTGAAGCAGCAGAGACTTGGCTTTATCATAATCATATTGCTCTTTTGCTTCCTGGATCTTCGCTATAAGGTCTTGCGCAGACTCTGTCGTGACCAAAGGTTGAGTATGTATGCTGACAGAAGAGCTAGCCGGGACGCTAGCCGGGCCGTTATGTCGGGGTCGCGAGGCATGATGTGTAGGCAAATCGTCTGTCGACAGGGATAACATGTTAGTATGTCCTAATAACACTCCACAGCAATGATACAACATACCATCCGAACTTATCTCGACATCGAACCCAGTCTGTGAGAATGTTCGCTTCGCAGCGCCCTGCGCAAGAATGATTTCTACCGGGATTTTAGGTAATTCATTCACATAGCTTTGCCCAGAAAGTCTTCCTGCTTGGCCTTGAACCACTGGCGACCGCGAACTCGATTGAGCCATGTTGCTTCGGTTCGGATGACTGATGGCATGTATATGGGAACGTAATTCATCTATGAGTGGTGCCAGTTGAGGTCCACGATCACACGAAGCCTGGGAACGTAACTTTGTTTGTACCAGCGTCCTGACACGTTTCCAGTGCCAGCCCGAAACCTCCCAAAATTGATCAGCAACACGATGCCAGAAGTCGAGATTGCCTTGCGATTTTGTGTAACGGCTTTTGTGCACAATGCAGATTTGAAACAGAACTAGCTGCTGATCAAGGCTCAGCGACGGCAATTCAGGTCGGTCCCGCTGATACTCTCGGATCACCGTCCAATTAGGGGTCATAATGCATGGGTCGCGAGGTATTGCAGGCAGTGACGATGAGGATGGGCTAGTGCCTGGACAACCACGGGGCTCTACCTGCGTAGTTTCTGACGGAGGGTTCTCAGCAATGTGGCCTTCCCCAGCTTGACTTCGAGATGCAGTTGGTGATCGCATGGTCGGAGCTGGCAGACAGTACCATGCCCTGTCGTAGGTATCGCGCATATCTTCAGCCATCATCTCGAACACCTTGCGGAAATCATCGGGCTCGCTCCAGAGAACACCAGTTCCAAACATCTTTTCCCCAACAAAAAGACTATGCAGGTCGGTGGCTCTCTCTGGGGGCCCATTCCGTTCTGCATGTTCAAAGTACTGTGTGAATTTCACCTGTTCAAGGCGAGCATCGGGGTATTTCTTCTGAAGCTGAACAAGTATTTCCATGTGCTCGTCTTTGTGCGTCAAACGTGCCTCACTGTATGCCAATGCCGCAAGAAGGAATTTGCCGAAATCGCTTTTGATACGAGATAGGAGAGACTTCGCCCCCTCCCAGTCACCCTTCATCTCTGCCTCTTTGGCTTGTTTTTCTAAATCCTTGTCCGCCTCGTAAAATGCTGATCGCTCCGCTTCCAATTTTCTGAGGAGTGGTCCGGACACCGTCTTCTTCGGAATCAGGAGCAGCAACCTCTTGGCTTCATTCCAGTCACCGCACAATGATTCTTCTTTGCTTCGTTTTTGGAATTCAATGTCGGCATCACTTAACGGTTCCTCGGGCTGTAGCAAGCTCACGACTTCAACATGGCCATCGCACCTCTCTGTACTGACGCCGGCTGATGAGTTCAAGAGGATTCGTCCAAAGTTCTCGCCATCCACTTTTAGACGCAGAGATAGAGAAGTGGCTTTATCTTGGTCCTCATTGTGCAGGGCTTCCGCGAGGTCCACTATGGGCTCTAATGCCATATGGACCGATGCCAGTTGTGGATCTGAAAGTATAGACTTCGCGCCGCTAAAGTCACCCTTAGCCAAAGCCTCGTTGCACTTGAATAATGCCACTAATGCTTTGGGCCTCTTGCCTTTCATCAGAGACACCAGATCACAGGCCTTAGTCAAGTCACGATCAACAAATTGCGCCAATACAGTCTCTTCTTGAAGGCTTCTGTTGTATTTGTTTTGTATTGCTTGTCTCCTTTCCAACGCGACAAGGAGCCGGCCCGATCTCACCTTGTTCTCCATTGAAAGCAGCGAGGATTTGGCTTTCTCCCATTCACCATCACTCTCTGCTTTAGCGCTTTCCATTTCGCGCTGCTTCTCTATTTGCTCATGTAGACTTTTATTAGACTCAAATTCCTTGATGTATGATTCTGGTTTTTGGTTGTCTTTGAATTGAAGCAGGAGCCACTTGGCCTGATCAAAGTCACAGCGCATTGCTGCGGACTTGACCCGCTCCAATATGGCTTCTTCGACGTCTTGCCAAGTCATATCCAAATCAGATTGAGGAAGAGGCGTTGGAGATCGGTATCTGTAATCGGAGCGTCTCAGCTCCGACCGCCATTTGATGAAACTGATGTGTTCCATCATTTCCCATAAAAGTGATTCCATCCGGTAACCATCAGGGTCGACAGGGCGAACAGTGTGATCCCGATAGCGGTATTCTGAGAGCTTTTTTTGAACAAAGGACCTGACCCGTTCTTCATGCCAGCCAGAGGCAGCATGGAAATCATCGGTAACAGAGAACCAAAAGGTAAGATTCGAGGACAGCCGCGTGTATAAATGTTTGTACCGTATGCATATTCGAAGGAGAGCTACCGGCGAAGGCTGGGAGCCCTGTGAAACTGATGGAGAAGTGTCCCAATTCCTTTCCTTTTCCATGTGCCGGACTGCGTACTCCAGATCACGTCTCCACATCGTTGAAGGGAATGATACAGAGTACTCGGTACTGCCGACGGAGATAGGATTCAGCCTAGTACGTCGGAGATGAATTAACATACGTAGAATTGACAAGGGATATTTTTATACTGGGTAACTAACTTGGTATAGCTGTCTGGTCTGACATGAGGACAATGCGACAGGGGTGGAAGCAAAACCCAGTTAAGCGACGGTTGGAATGTGCGGAGGAAGATACGCGACATGCGACGCGACGCGGTGACCCGACCTATAGTCACTCTAGGAAGGAGTCTAGGGACTGGACGGTCTACTCCTTATCGGAGATTGGTCTAGGGTAAAAAAATGCGACTGTTCATGCGGAGAATACATTTTTGAAAAACCACAGTTGAAGTCCAACTGGAAATCGCGGTCTTTAGGACCCTAATGCAGGTACGTCTATGATACCCACTGGAGAGCTGTATCCTTTCGCCATTAACCGCCTACTCTTATTTTTTAGTTCTCGCTATTAACATTTAGGCTTGGAGAGAATAGGAAATAAAAACTTATAGTATAGGAAAATCAGGTTAAATTCGGTGGAGAAGACGGGACCTTGGAGATGGGACTAGGGACTAAGATATTCCCATAGGAGTCCTATATAGATCTCTACAGATGACTAGGAACTCTATCCGCCTCTTTCCGAATTATTTTCAAATTGTCAAGGAAACATCACATATTTCCAATCCGAAAGAGCTAGAGAATTGCCCATGCAAAGCCCGCTTGTCAGTAGCCTTAAAACTTGCTACTCAGTGACTGCAGTTGCAACAAGCCTTGCTTCTTGGAAGGTTCCTCGACGAGAGCAACATTACGGACGTTGTCTGCTAAAGGAAACATATATCTCCCGACATCCACGCTTGTAGGCCACGACGCTGCCCGGAATGCAGCTTCCGCTAGCTTTATGAGCATTAGATCGCTTCCCTTTGCACCGAGGATAGTGCTCCCGATCGGTCGGTGTTCAAGTCTTCCTGAGATTCGTGATTGATAGGGCATTTGTCCAACTAGAGACGATCAGTAATTTACTCCGGAATTGTGGCCAGGAAATGAGAAGAAAGAAGAGGATAAGCACTGAAAGTACTGACAAGGTAGCACAAGCTGAGGGATTCCAAGGACAGGAGAGATGAATTTTTCACCAATAGTTCCAGCACTCGATGGGCTCCTAGGTCTAGTCAGTTCTCAAGAAATGGAAAACCCGGGGAATGGGGAACGACTCATTAGCGATATCCCGGTACTTCGGGTTAGCAGATCCATATGGCATAATCATAATGGCATCAGACAGGGTGTTTGGATCTTGTGAGAAGATGTTTTCGTCAAACCATCTCTGGAATACTTTCAGTTCTTCACGGTATGCATTGTACTCATCCAGAGTAACTTCTTTGCCAACTCCCCTAACACATTTCCGGTTAGCTTTTCTCCACTCGATAAATTTCATATCTTACCATCTGTAACGCAAAACTGGGCCTTCAAAAGGGAGTTTCTCATATTTAGATTCATACTTCGATCGGAAGTCGTCAAATCCGTGATAGTAATCATAGCACATAGACCAGAACGCACTCTGTGTAAGCTAATGTAAGTTTCACATCGCTTCGAACTGGTGAATGACTGGATTACCAACCTTGGACAGGTACTGCTTCAGTGGCTTCCCGTTCGCCTCCAATGGAGGGCACTTTTCCCATCTCTCAGCGATACTAATCTCGACCCGCTTAGTGCCCAAAAAGTTCTCGAGGATTTCAACAAATTCATCCACCATAGCTTGGTGCTGGGGGTTGCTGTGGGGGAAAAAGTCGAGTGGATAGATGATCTTCGACGGAAATGCCGTAGAGTTGTCGTTGAGATCCAAAGTATGAGAGGCAATATAATGGAGATCTGACAAGCTTCGGCCGAATAATCCCACAACATCGAAGTGACTGGTTATGAATGAATCAGAGAAGTCATGTGGAAGAATTGACTAGAAACTCACGGTGAATTCAAAACTATACCATCCATAGACGTTGATTCAGTAGATGGTCTGATGGAAAATAGCCCATTGCAAGTTGCAGGTGCCCTAATACTCCCAGCAGCTGGAGTTTCAAATATCAATGTCTTTGGTTCAAACTTGGACTCCGGGTTTGAAAAAGAAAGACTTACAGTCACCACCAACAGAAGAATCTAGCCACGAGTATCCTGCTAATGCTGCAGCTGAACCAGAGGAGCTCCCCGACGGGCTCTGGTATTCGTCGCCACGGGGGTTTATGGGGCAATGGAAATCAACCCACTGATCCGTAGGCTCATCAGAGGATGCAAATTGAGTCATCTTTGTCTTTCCAACAATGATCGCTCCTTGGTCAATAAGCTTCTGAACGTATGAGGCAGTCTTCTCTTGAGGAGGGTACAGTTCTGTATATGCACGACTCATCATGGTCGTTTTTGTTCCGTTGAGGTGGAATATATCTTTCAAGCAGACCCGAATACCTGCAAGCGGGCGTTCTGGCGAGACACGTGAATAGAGGCGACTAGGCACTGCGACTTCTTTCCAAATCCCGTCATCACTGATAGAACTGAAAGGATTGAACCTAATATTGCTTGTTAGAGAATAAACCGTTCGCTTTCGCCGCACTCTTCTGTTGTGACCTTGAGAACAAACCTTTCGGGCTGGAGAACATTTTCCGGCAAGACTCCAAAAATGAACGCGTCGAGACAATCCGGGTATAGGCGCCAGGCTTGGTGAATATTGGAGCCATGAAGAAAATAAGGGCCCGCTGGCAGGTCGAGCGCGCTGGACGTGTACACTGTCGAAAATTTCTGAGATACTAAGGTGGATTTACCCTGATTCAGTTCTTCAGGAGTGCCGGTTAGGACTATTGAACGTGAGAATTCTCTGTTGTAGACATCGTCTACCTGTTCAAAGAGATTCAGTTGCTGCATAAGTCTTTCAGTGTTTTCTTGCACTATCTTTGCCTCAAGAAGAACAACAGCTTTGGTCTCTTGGACGTGAATATTTTCAAGAATAGTGCCCTATAAGAACAGCTCAATATAATCCTCCTTAGGATATAGACGAAAGCTTACCAGTGCCTGTGGGTGTACGAGATATTTAGTACTCGCAATTATTTGCGTTATAATCTGATCAAACCCCATCTCAGCTATGGGGTGCGGAGGCGCGCAAAGTGGGGATAATTGGGGATAATTGACTTGAAGGATAGAGAAAAAAAGGAAGGTTGAAATATTCAATGAATTTGACACAGTGCTAAAGGTCTTTTCGGGACTAAATAGGCGTAACGCGGAAGCTCTTAGATGGAGGGGGTCGAGTCTGCCCAACGAGGCTGATCTCGGTGTAAGAAAAGGCCTAGAAAATGTGGCATGCTGCACAATAATCTCAATTCGTCCCATCTTATGTGCATGTGATAGTACTGGCTAGCAAATTTGTTTATTACCGGCCGATATGGGAATAATGGCGGGACATCCTATCCTGTGACATCTCGGGTTTAGGGCTGCAGGTGGTGCTCGAAGAAGTTAGCCAGCCTCTTCTGATTGGACTACTATAGCCACGCAGCAAATGTTCACAGCCCCCCTCGTAATATACAAGGATGTGCTTTCAAATATACCCTGTCACTGCCCAATCTCATGCGTAGCGCCCGAAGGCGATGCGAACAACCCGGAGGCTCAAACAGTCCTTTCAGCGTCTGGACTTTGTTATGCGGTCTCTTTCTCCCTCTCCCGCTCTATCTCTAGCCATAAAATCAAACCCCTCCAAGGGAACAAAGACTAGGCTAAAGTTGCTCTGTGTTAATCACTGAATTTGGGGTATCCCAAGGTCGTCAGTCCCACCGGAACTATGATTGCTCCCCTTTCGGTTGTCTACGACGGTGTCAGAAAGCCTGAGATTGAGTAAGTTCTCCTCTGTTAGAAAAGACGTTTTGTCGAATAAACTAAATAAAATAATAATAGCCTTGTCTCAATTCCGGGCCTTCCAACTATCCATCCTACGTACAAGTTGAAAGACCACACGAAATGGCTTCGGGAAGTACTGAGCCATCAGGTGCCCCAAGCGCGAATCATGGCATTTCAGTATGATTTTGCAAAGGATTCAATGGAAGTCTCCTGGGCGGAACTATTTCGAAATGTTGAATACCTACTATACAGTTTGGTACATCGGCGCGAGGGCACAGAAGACCGGCCTGTCTTATTCATCTGCTACAGCTTTGGGGCAATCATCCTCAAGAAGGCAAGTCACAAGTAGATTATTTATTCCACCTCCATAATTCGTAGCTAACATTATGTATTTCTTGATCAAGGCTTTGTTGATCGCAAAGAAAACCCCGATATTCCGAAACATTCTCGACAAGACCAGGGGTATCATATTCCTTGGCTGTCTGAACGATGAATCAAATCCACAAATCGAGGAGCTATGTCTTAAATGCGCTGCGGTGGAGCTAGGAGTGATCATGAAGAACAAGATGATCGACACCCTGCGAAAAACGGACGATTGGACAATAATTCGAGACGTGATAGAGAGCTTCCGCGTTTTGAGATGCCGGTTCCCGGTACGCAACCTCTACGAACTCAGGCCGACTAACATTATGAGCCGTACACTCGGAGTCAAGAAAGTAAAGCGAGAAATGGTAGCTTTCACCCGAGATTAAGTGTCCAGGTTGATGAAGCTGATGAGCTAACATTGGTCAAAGCTATGCGATTTACGGGTATCGTCCTTAGGTTGGTCTGATGAGGATTGCGTGGGCATTGAAAAGGATCATGGGGAACTCACAATGTATCCACTCAGAAGCGATGAAGATGGATATTTCGAGACATTTATGCGCACACTCACGAGAATGATCGATGAGATTGTCCCAAGGCCAACGCAACAAGCATGGGAAAGAAATGATCCCGACGACGACCAAAACTGGCTTGTGATGGAAGGAACTTCTAGCAACCGGTCTGCGAATCTGGAGGGTATGTTAACCCTCAAACCATGTTATTTTCAATATCTTATCTGACATATTTATCTCCCTGCTACCTTTAGCTGATATCACAAAGTCGATGTTGTCGTATAACGACTCAGCTTCATTTCACACATCACATGGTACTCATATACCATGTTATGTCATGACCCCGTTTGAAGATAATCCCAATTTCGTTGGAAGAGAAAAAACTCTCACTGCCATACACGATGCCTTGGCCCCAGGTAGTCCTAGCGTCGGACAAAGGGTATTCGCACTTACAGGCTTAGGCGGAATGGGGAAAACCCAGACAGCAGTACGTTATGCCTTTTCACAGATGGAAGTGACCTACAAGATTGTGCTATGGGCACACGCAGACGGGCAGTCCAAACTTTCAGAGAGCTTCTCTCTTTTCGCTTCCGAGCTGGGTCTGGGAGATGGATTGACCCACGCAAAAGCCAAGCAAGCGGTCAAAGACTACCTCGCGATTGTCGGTAGGAGCTATCAATTGAAACCACTATTGATTCTGATCTGACCCTTAATCTAGATGTGGACTGGCTCATGATTTTTGACAATGCTGATGGTGATGATAAGACGGAACTGCTAGCAGAATTTTGGCCCCGAGGTGACAAAGGGTCTATACTAATCACTAGCCGCGACAAAACTTTGACAAATCGGTACCATGGGAGATTCTTAAAGGAGCTTCATTCAAAAAACGCCGTGGATCTTCTGCTGAAACTCACTGGAATGCCCACCACTACCACAGAAGAGAGACTTGCAGCCCGCGAAATTGTCAAGAGAGTAGGCTTCCTACCACTAGGAATAAACCAGGCTGCAAATTTGATCATAAATCTCTCATGCACTTTCTCCGAATTCCTTGGAGCATACGACTTGCAAGAGCTCATTGAAGACTCGTCTGATGTCCAGCTCATATCGGGGGGTTCTTACAAGTACTCGCTTCGAACGGTTTGGAACATGAACTTCGAGAAGCTTAGTAGTGCGGACCAAGCTCTGCTGAAGATGATCTCGTTTCTTGACCCCGATCGCATTCAAATGAAGTTGCTCCTGGAAGGAGGAGCAGAGAGCGCGAATCCAAACCTGCACTTCATTAATACTTCTTACAAAGTGACCAAATGCCGGGCAGGGCTTTTGCGCAGCTCTCTGATCTCGCAAAATGAACGAAAAGATGAGCTTCAGATGCATCGTCTCGTACAAGCATACTGCCAACTCAAAGTGTCACCAGAAGAAGCACAACAAAGTTTTGGCAATGCAATCTCGCTCGTGAAACAAGTCTGGCCAGTCCCGCCTCGATCAGAGGTGCATAATCCATCTTTATGGGAGAGACAAAGAGCTCTTCTGCCACATGTTCAAAAGTTATGTGAGTTTTACGTGGCATCTTGCCGAAGAGACCAGCCTCTTATCCCAAAAGACGTCGTGAATTGGGACTTTCCTTCCGTGGTATACGAGGCAAGCTGGTGAGAAAAGAAACTCTTAGGCTTGAAAGTAGCAACTAATTAATTCAACATTCAGGTTCTGCTACGAGAGTGGGATGCTAGAGTCTGTTTCAGACTTGCTGAATCCCGCGAAGGATTACTGTATCCAACATTTGGCTTCTGGAAGGGGTTATCGCCTGTTGGCAGATATATATGGGTGCTTCGGATCTCTATGCACAGAGTCAAACCAATTTCAAGGCGCCTACGATAACTTCGCCACTGAATGGAAATATCTCGAGAAAGCTTTCGAAGCAGGGGAGCTTGAAAGACCAAGTATTTGGGAAGTCTTTGGTTTAGGGAGGCTTGGAAACGGGCACCATGGGCTGCATCAATATGCAGAAGCAGAAGCATACTATCGAAAGGCATTGGCCGCCTGGGAAAATCTTCCAGGTGATAAGAAGCTCTGGCACAGTCATCTTGCAACGTGTTTGTGGTTACAAGGTCGCCCAGATGAAGGAGAGGTAGTCGTGCGAGGAGTCATCAAAGACGAAAATGACACAACCAATTTCAGGTAGGACCTAGAGTTCACCCCTGGAGACCATCGGTATTCAGTGCTAATGCATGAAGCCTTTAGAACTGCAATGGCAATGTATGCACTAGGCAATATTCAAATTGCCCAAGCTACAGGTTTGACACTCGAAGGAAAGAAAAAGGACGCCGAAGATAAGCTAGCTGAGGCAATGAATACCCATGTCAAAGTACTCAATTTGTGGACGAAGACATTGGGACCAAGACACCACAAGACCTCGGATGCAATGTACAAGGTCGGCTGGCATTTGCACAGACGCCAGGAATATGCCCAGGCATTGTCAGTCTCTATCGTTATTTCTCGCCTCGATGGCCTTTCTGCGTGCAGTACTGACTAATTGAATTAGGGACATGTTCGAGAGAGCGTTGGATATCTATGAAAGTCAGCCGCATCTATACAAAAACGAAATTGCCCGAACGAAATACAAGATAGGCTGCCTGAAGCAGGATACACAGCATCATAGTGACGGTGCAGCTTTGATCCGCGAAGCGGACCGAATCAGACAGCAGATAGTGCCGCCAGAAGACTGGGAGCCTGCGAAGTGCGAGGAGGACTTTGACAATATAGTCCAGTTCTGGACACGATAAATTTGAGAGAAATGGAGTTCGGCAGTCACAAAAGGTCGCAGCAGAGAATAATAGGTCAAATTGTAAGAGCAGGTGGCAAGTGGGAAATCTGAATTATCTATCATTCATGCCCAATCTCTATCGTCGAAACTTCCATATATCGGCAGTAACATGATAATTCTTGATCTTTCTAATCCATTCTGGTCCGTAAAGAACAGAAAGAGTCAAAAGATAAATCCCTATTCCACAGCCAAAAGGCCATTGCCATGACGGAGGAGGGGACCATTCCCGTATATTCATGCCGAAGACACCAGTAATGAAGCTCAACGGAATAAAAAATGATGCCATTCTGGTTAGCATATTAACCTCATTTGCACTTTGCACCCCTCTTTCCGAGAGCACAAGCTGTGCAAATCCAACCAGAACGCTTGTGGCCGACTCGCAATGACCAGTCAAAAGTTTGCAGCGTTCCATCATTCGATCATAGTCTGCTTGTAGTTTTCTTTGAATGAGTTCTTTTCGTTTTATCGTGGAGTCGGAAGCTGGCTTTGGCCAAGATGAGCAACCTCCTTCAGTAATAATGTGCTGGTTTTCCGAGAGAAGTTCCTTGACCCGGCTTATGGTAGCAACATGTTGCCTAAGCTGACCCAACTGGAACTGTAGCTTATCTTGATCGACGTCCAGCTGATCTTGGCATTCCGTAATACCTTGGGCAAGAACATTCAAGGTCTGTGACCAGGAAAGAAATGACGTGGTCAGAACCGTGGCAAGGAGGAAGAATGGATCTTCTTGCATTAACTGATAGTCCACCTGATCCCTAAGAACTATGCCTTTGAGGGGATGAAACTGGTCTAGCTGTCCGGATGATTCACCATCATCTCTGCTAGGGATCGGTGCGCTACTCTCTGCTGGCAGATTGTAAGGCACCAATGGGACAATACCACCATGTCTAGACCATGGCAGCCCTTGTTCCGTGACCATTCGGCTACTGTCAGTCAGAAATATGCCTAAATTTTTGATTAGCTCTTAGAGACCTTCATGAATACTCAAGCTCCAGGCCCCACTCACCATGCCAATTATTCCGGTGCGTCGCAATAGTGAAGGACACCATCTCCTCCACACTGCATATGTCACTATCATGCACAACAATCTTTCGGACATGTGTGGCCCCATACATTCTGTGATTGACCAATGCCTTCTCATAGTTGAGCCGCAGGCCCTCCATCTCAGCTCGTTTCTGACGCATATGCAGCGATGTTTGACCGGAAAGACGGGACGGGTAAGGAGACATGGGTTTGACGAGGCGGGAAAAGTGCACGCGCACCACATTATCCTGTCTTGACGGCAGAGTTGGTAACTCTGGAACGCTGTCACTCAGCTTGAGGCTGACAGGTAGGTGCTCGATAAAGAATTCTGGGCGGACGGCAAACTCGGCTCCCAGAAATGCGATGCAGTCAGGATGTGGGAACCCTTGCAATACCCCAATACGTGGCTTGCAGTTTTCATCATGCAGCCCAGTAGTGATGAACGGGAAAGCTTTTGGATATACGTCATCATTGGAGAGCGGGCTAATCTCAAATAATTTGACCTCCTGAAGTCTGGACTTTCGTTGCCCGGAACATGCATCAAGAAAGTCCGCCAGCTGTTCGTAGAAGGAAGCTGCTTCTGGGTGATACCGATAACAAGATCGGATATGGCGTAGATAAACAGAACGGTCGTCGGTGCTGCTTGACATGCTTGAGTATATGTCGAAATAGGAATAAGCCATAAACAAGAACTTGGTTTTTGTTATGTTCTAGTGGTAAAATGCGCTGCATGGTTTCCGTCAGTATATACAAAGGCTTCGAGGGCTTTGTCTTTGTCCACTAGGTAAAAATATCCAAGATACCTAGCGTTGAAGTTCATTAGTGGTGCCAATCTACTCTTGTTTCTCGTATATATTTAATTGGCTTCCGGGCAGTGCAATCAATATATTAAAGTCAGCCACTATTCCACTGCCACCTTCACCCGGGCATAGTTACGCCCACCACATGTATGAGTTCACCAATAATACATGGCTCCCGTACACCTTCCCCTCTTTCCCCTCTTTCCCAATGAAATTGTTGATCGTCTGAGCGATAACATCGCTTCACTTTCGTGATGGTAGGTCTTCTCCACCTGCTGTCGAGAGTAGATAAATAGTGGCGCAAGCACAGGGCTGATTTACTTTTGGCCTATTTGGGAATCACTACCATCTTCTCTTCCAATCACTCTACTCGAGATTCCTTGAATCTTGCTTCACTGCGCAGAATTCGCCATCCAAGGGTACTTGATCGCAACAATGCATCCACATGTGGTACGCTTACTCTAGACATATGGTGATATCTAGTAATTCTGACAACAGCTATTTCAGACTCAGCTTGTCTCAAGCGGCACGGAGTATACCGACACTCACGTCAAATCCTGGGCTCAGGATATCCTGAATAAGGCATCGCAAGATACTCGCCAACAGCCGTGGAAGCGTGCTTTTGCCGCAAAAGAAGTCAATGTTTTGTCCCCGCAGGTGGCCGATATCATTAAATTTGACCACAGGAGCGCCTGTGCTAATGCTGAGGCTGGAAACTGAGATATGATTTAGATAGCTATCATCAAAGGGGTTGGATGAAGCATTACTATTTAGCCACTTGAAGTCCGTTGAATGTGAGATTGGAATATGTAGCAAACGTGAGTTGCCTAGTTAATATTCCAGTTCAATTTATATGCTGATTTCCATTCTTTTGTGTTTTGGTCCAATAAATCCCCGGATAAGGCTCAAGTGACCACGTGTAAAGTTATAAATTAACCGTCTCCCCCCAGGGCCGATGAATGCCAAAGCCAACCTTGGAACTATTCCAACGCTTAATAAGCAGATCTGTCGTCCAATCATCCATAAGAGTCATGGAGAGAGGCATATTTCGCTATCTCAAGTGGCAGGAGCTATACAAGGTTGAAAAACCTTTCCAGGTCCTCATTGATTTGCCTGAGGATGCTGAACTGAAGCGGCAAACAAATATGGAATTTGAAGATGGTTCGGAGGTGACCATTACGGATATTCGAGCCGTTCAAAGTCGCCCCCAGATTGACACACACGGATTTACATATGCTTATCACGATAGTAGTCTCACTGAAGACCAGTTTCTTGATAAGGTAAATGTTGAGTCAATATATCTTCCAGAGTGTGAGGCACTGCTTCGGAGCTCATTGGATGGGGTCGATGAGATCCATTTCTTCAATTGGCTGGTATTAAGCATACAAAAGTTTCTCCTTGTGGATATCTCATTGCTAACACATGCAGGTACGAGATACCAGTTCTGTTCTATCGGGCAAGGAGGTAGATTTGAACAATCCTTTGGCCCTGGTTGGACCTGCAAGAGTCGTTCATATTGGTAAGGAGTGTGACACTTTGGCTGGTCTATGTAGCTTCTTTCAAGCTAACTTTCTGAAGATCAAACATCCACTAGCGCAGTAGAAAGGGTCTATCTCGAGCTGCCATCAAAGGCAGAGAAACTTCTAAAAGGAAGACTTCGTCTGATTAAGTTGGTTCTTCCTTCTTTTACGTGAGTCAATATGGTCACAGGACATATGTTGATCATAATTCTAGCTTATGGCGCCCTGTTAATGGCCCAGTGGAGAATTTCCCACTCGCCATGTGTGACGGTCGAACAGTGTCACCTACTGCACGAGTGCAGTCAGATCGAATCAGACGGAAATATACCGGAGGCACAACTTTTGTGTTACAAGAGTCTGAGCAAAGATGGTACTACCTCAGTCATCAGAAAAATAATGAGGTTACTATATTCAAGAACTTTGATTCGGATTATGATATGACACAAGGTAAGCAATTGCACATAAAAAGACTATTATAAGCAACTGACATTTCATAACTAGACGCCCCTCATTCATCCTTCGTGCCGCTAGTTCATACCCCTGGGATTCGGCCTCGCCGAAGCATCGAGGTCAGAGCGATGGTGTTTACATATGCTCCGAATTAGTTATGAGATATATGGCAGCCTCAACCATCCGCAGTTTGGATGAGATTTACCATGCAGACAGACAATATTTATTTTCTCAAGTGTAGGATCAGGATATGTACTGGGCTGAAGGGCAAGAACAATATGGGCCATTTCGATCACCTAAGGAGCTTTTGTTTGTTTTGTTTTGTTTCTAGGCGTTTTCTGTTACTATAGGCCTATTTAGTCCAATTTTTATCATAAGATAAGCTTCCTAAAATCATGGTCATTCTCCTAAGAAACGTACTATACTTAGGCGATACTAGGGCTAGCCAGATCTAATAGAAAAATGATGATCATCGGTTGTTGTTTAATGTCCATCTCTCGAGATATGGGCGTAGCCCGTATCTCTACGGCCTCCTATGGGATATGGGGACGTACTAAGCTATGGTTTTATGTACAATAATGAGCGCCCATAGGAAGGAACTCCTTCTAGTGTATGATCTGGCGTACGGCCAATTGGCTGCCCGTCCTTCTGATGATTATCGGTGGTTGTCTCGGGCCTCTTTTAACCTGAGTACAACCTAAAATTGCCCCCAAGGCAGTGGGAAGGACAGGTGCAGTGACATATATATATATCCAGTGTCTTTGGTACTTGTTGGAATGGCAGTGTTGACAGGTGAGAAGCTAATAGCAGTTACTGTAATAGGCAATACTCCAGACATTGGATAGTTGGGATACGAGGTGATGGACACCACGGGTTTGACACAATGAGTCTTACTAAGCTGTAAATTGATACAGCTCGGAACAATCCCAGGATTGCCCAACAAAATATAGTCATTTGGCAATGCCAAGACATGTTCGGGCTTGGCAAACTGTTTTCTGCCAAGACCTGTTTATGTACATAAAATAGCCTAAAAGGGGAATTTCTACATTACTTTTGCATAATCATGCCTTCAATTTCAAAACGACCATGGACATCTCTAGCATTGGCGTCTAGACTTTCTGACAAAGCACTGATACACATCTTTTATTTGGCGAGATCGTTGGATCTGAGGCAAAGAGACAGAATTGCAAAGAACGTTGTACACAGGTTGCGAAGTCCCATGAGTTCTTTCTTCCCATTGTAAAGTGCTTCTATGTACATTGTCTAATATATATCCCCACTCTTGGTATGGGCTTTTTACATCTGTCCTGCTGGTTCCCATCTTGTGATAAGCTACAGATATCTGGCTTGGGACAGGAAATGTATTTACAACATGGTCCCCGTCCGATGAATATTGTATCAAATGCTGTGGTGAGTCAATTGCCAATCGCACTTAGTCCAGCCAAGAAAAGAGCACGTCGTAAAATGCTTTGGGGTCTTGGAGGAAGGGTGCATGACCTAGACCGGGGAACATATGGAGCGTGCAGTTAGGGATCATGGCTGCGGCAGCAGGGCCAAGTACATCATAATGTCCCAGCTTCGCAGCGACGGCAGGGGGTGACCATGCTTTACCAAGTGCCGAAACGTCACTGGCGCCCACCAAGAGGTAGGTACGCGTCTGCAGGAGAGGCAGCTGGTAGATGATCGGCTGGCTGAGTAAAGCGTCGGTGACGAGGGCCATCACGTACGAATAGTCGGAGCCATAGTCGCCGGCGTAGATATCGGCTAGCATGTTGACCCAGGCATCATATTCAGGCTTCCAGGGGGCATTGGGGAAGTAGTTGGCCTGCTCATAGGCCTTGAGAGTGGTAAAGTTCGACACAATACCGCTCTTGTACGACGCGTCAATTGATAGGTAGGGCACACCCTTGGCTACCCAATCCTCCAAGCCCAGTGGATTGACGAGGAAAAGCTGTTGGATGCTGGCCGGGTACATGAGGCCGTAGCGGGCGGCAATCATGCCACCCATCGAATGGCCGATTACGGTGACTTGATCGATGCCTAGCGCAGTGAGAAGACTGTGGATATTCAAAGCCTGCTGTTGCACGTTGTAAGAATAGCCTTGAGGCTTGCTCGATTTGCAAAAGCCGATATCGTCGGGAAGGATCACTCGGTAGCCGGCGGCTGACAGGTGACGCGCTGTGTCGGACCATGTGACGCCGCAGAAGTTGCCGCCATGCAGCAAGACGGCTGTCTTCTGAGTCTTGTTTTGTTTCCTTGCCGGGATGTCCATGAACGCCATCGTGAGGTTCTGGCGCTGATTGGAGAAGTTGAACAGCTTCACCGGCCAAGGGTAGGGGTAACTGGATCCGTATAAGTCGGCTGGCACATGGCCATCGTAGATGGTGCCAATAGGGTCGGGGTCGGACTGTGCGCAGACGACAGTCGTACACGACAGAATTGCCGAGAAGGCACTGAAGATGGGGAATATCTTCATGATGTGGTTGCTTGAAAAAGGACGAAGTTCGAAGAGCACGGCTCCCTGTCAATCGTATAAGAGGAAAATAGACTTATTCTTTCACCTCCTGATGCGATATATACCAGCTTGAGAATTATTTTGATGTGAAATGAAGGCGGATCCCAGTGTAGCTAGCACCAGAGCTAGGGGCACCGCGATGCTACCTATATGTAGTTAGTGATCTAGGGGCTGATCACAGCCTTTCCTGTTTCGCTTCTCAGCCGGATAGGGGCTTCTCAAATGCAATTTCATTAGTACCAACTTGGTGTTTTTAATCAACTGAAATTTCACTAGCACGTACTTGGTGTAGTTAGGTACTGTTGAGGGGGCCCGGGGTGCCTGGGTGGGGCGCTGTGCTGAGTAATGGCCACCTCCAGCCCTGGAGGGATTTCGATTTCTGTCTTCCCGTAAGCATTCAACACGCAGATTCTTCTTGATTTCGTTCAAATGAGTTACTTTTAGTATTTCCCGTCATATAAATGTACATCTACTTGGTTGCTGTCAATCGACCATCCAATCCTGGGCAAATTGGCCCCCAAAATTTCTCAAACTAGCGCCGTTAACGCCATGCAGCGTGAAATTAATCACGTATACATCTTTGCGACCCCCGCCTAGCGCTCCATTTTTTTTCTACAAGGGTCTCGGATGAAACGGGTCAATGCCCCGATCAGGCCGCGCGATGTAACCTGATCCCAAAGAATCGAAAACTTCCGCGAATAGGACCCTTGTCACTCTGCTGCATGACACGCTAACACGCTATCCCGCCGGTAACGCGGTAATGTACTTATGTCGGGATGCAAAAAAAAAAAAAGATGTAGGCTGAAGGCGACATCACTACTGATACGGCCTTGAATTACTACATATGTATTGACCGTCGCCTCAATCGCTTTTGCAAGACCATACTACCCACCCCCAGGCGACCTCTAGCAATTTGCTATGTCCAAAAATACCCCAGGACCAAGCAGGGCGTTGGAGATCCAAGTGCCATGTATCGTGTTCCTCGTGACCACGCCGGCTTTCGTGGCTATACGACTGTGGTCCCGAGTCAAGTCTAAGTCGGGGCTCGGCTGGGACGACTGTACTATTTTGGCGTCTTGCGTGAGTTTTTAATTCAAGAGATTGAGCTTCCACATGCAGATTTAACGCTCCTATCAACAGATCTTTGCGATTATCGTCATGGCTTTTATGCTGGCGTCCTGTGCCTATGGCTTTGGCCAACACATCGCGAATCTCACAACACCGCATAAGCTAATGACTCTGAAGGTACATTGGGAATCCTTCTCACTGCAGTTTTCTCGTTCTATATTGTGGCTGAGGATCGCTGACTTCAGTCCTGCCAGCTCTTCTTCGTTAGTCAAGCTTTCTACAAGCTCACCATGAATATGACGAAGATGTCCATCCTGATGCTATATCTACGCATTTTTATCCAGCGTTGGTTCCGGATCACCTGTCATGTGCTCTTGGCTATCATCACCTCCTATATGGTGGCCACCTTCTTCGCCTCCGTATTTCAATGCACGCCAGTGGCCCGGGCCTGGAACAAGACTATCCCAGGATCATGCATCAACATAACCACTAACTGGTATGCCAACGCCGGCTTCTCAATCGCTACCGATATCATCATATTGACTCTACCGATGTACCCGCTCTACACATCGAAAATCCGGTTGAAGCGGAAAATCGCCTTGATGGGAGTGTTTGCCCTCGGCACCTTGTGAGTTTCAAATACCGCAGTGCAGGCGTTATCTCCAGACTGACCCGGAGTTTTCAAGTGTCGCGATTACAAGCATTCTCCGAATGCAGACGCAGGACTTCTCGTCCACCAGTCCTGACATTACCTGTAAGTGTCCTCATAGTCACCCCGAACTGCTCTTACTCAAGCACTTACGAGATCTACAGACGACATAGCCTCCTCGGTATGGACGATAACCGAAGAAAATGTGGCGATTACCTGTGCCTGCCTGCCAATGATGTGGATGCCACTTGCTAGGCTCTTTCCCTCGGTTTTTTCCATAGATCATGGGGCCGACAGCCATGGAAGCTCGGCTGCCAAGAACTCGGAACCTAACACCACTTCGCGTCCCCGAAGCAACTGGACCCAGCTTCATGCGTACCCTGATACCAAGGGCATCAGTATGGACCAAACCAGCGATTCCCCAAACCGCTCATCGGAAGATAGCGCGGGCGAGGGCGGCGAATCCCAGGATCAAATCGAAAACGGCATCACGAAGGTCACGGAATACTATGTTTCTTATTCTAATGCGAAATCGCTTCGAGGAAAATATATCTCTAGGCCCGAATAGGTCGAATAACTTGTGGGGTCCTAGGCACACGATGACTGAGATGTGTTCTGAATTATCGCTAAATCCGTGCAATGAATAAATGAAAAGTATAATTAATAACCTTATCAACAAACAGTCAATTGTTGTAGTTTGATCGTCTCTTTGCTTTCCTTAGAAGGCTATTACAACATAGTCTCTAGATTTTGTAGTAGAAGCTTAGTGAACTTCAGAAGTTCAACTACAATGTACCTAGGTAATGAGAGAGTTATGCCCCGGGTGGCATACTTGACGCCCGTACAGGGACACTGAGATTCCCACGGTTGTCCTCAACAAGACAATATGGGCTTTCCGCTACCGACGGAGTTGACATGCACCATTTTGGAGTACATTTCTCACGACGACCCCCATTTAGCTAAATATGCAACAATCAGTCGCGACTGGCCGGCGATCGTCGAGAGCAGAACATTCTCATACCTCAATATCGAGACCTCCGAGCAGTTAGCGGAATTCAATGAGCTATCATGGGGTCAAAGAGGGAGCTATGTTCGAACTCTCCATTTGATTGTTCAACTAGAGTCTTACTATGATGATGATGGCGACGCGTGTTTGCGCTACGAAAATGAAGGGGAGATGCAACGAAACAACAAGCTTTTTGACACATCGACTCAGTCATTTTTCATTACTCTGGCCAAATGGCCAAAAGAAGGCGCCGGCTTTAGTCTTTCGATTGAGGCCCAGTCCCCCGATGATATTCTAGATCAAACGCCCGAGGACAAGAGGTACCTTTTTGGTGATTTCCGGGATCAGAGATTCGAAAGATCATACCTTCAATTCAATTCGGAGATCGTTGCTATCAAATGGCCGGCCATCCCCACAGATATCTCCCTTGTAATCATAGGCGGGCATGATAGAAGGCAAATTGAACCAGCTTCTTGTTCTTTTGTCGTGTCGAAGTTACCTCGACTATACCGCCTGAAACTTAATTTGAATGATCATTACAGATAGGACCCGGAACTGAGAAAACGCCGTAGAAACGGTATACTATATGACAATGCCCGGTAGGATATAATATAATAATCGGAAATCTAGATTTCGCGGATTCTATTCTACTATGGCCTGCCAGTATACGGCAGCTCCGCCTTGACTTTTGGTTTAGGGCCCCTTTCAATCAAGACTCTTCCCCAGACCTGCTAAGCTCGCGATTGCGGGAGTTCTCGCAACAATTGAAAGTAATGAGCGTGACCCAATTTGTGCTTGGAAAAGAATTCTTCTGGCCCACAGATGAACAGAATCACAATCTCCAGCTTCCCTTTTGGCTCCATCTTACCGATCTGTCGGTGGGATACGAACCGGTGACTCCAAGTGGAAACTGGATGTTCGCAGAGGAAGGAGCTCAAGAATCCGAATATAAGGATGGTTATCACTTGAGTGACCCTGGCTCCGATAATGAGAAGGATGAGACTGATGTAAATTGGACAGCCCCGGAGGACCGCAATGGCAGAATATTTCGGTATGAGCACATTCACGAGACGTTCGATGCGTATTATCTCTCAGCTGCCAATGCCGCTCTTCGCATGCCCAAGATGAATAATATGGTTTTGGAAGTGACGAACGCCTGGAATATACACAAGTTCGTGTACACTGTGAGGAATGGGGTAGCGAATGCGACCTGGTTCCATCCCTCTGCTTCTACGAGTGTATACAGGCCAAGCGATAGAGTCTTACAAGTCTGGAAGCAGGTTGCTTCCGCGCGTACTAGAGGTTTTCTTGAAGTTGAAATTAGCCACATCAGGGGGAAGTTTCATTCAATTCTGCAAAGCGTTTACACGGACGTCACTTTAGGAACAAAGTGGGATCACGCTGCAATTGACAACCGACAAAGAGTTCAGCTGTAGTTTACGACCGAAAAGTAATAGGAGCGAATGGGGTGGTCGGCGAGTCTGATTGAGCGGGATACCAAAACTCATTTCGTACTTTTGAATCATTCAAGGGATCAGGAAAAAGCTAGAATACACGTAGCTTCAGCAAGAGAGATTTAAAACAAACATGAGCGGCAACAGTTGTAGGCATCTCTCTCAATGTTTTACCGGACTTCGATTCTCAACGGTGAAGGGAGGATTGTAAGGAAAGGGAGAGATTATAAAGCAGTCACTATGTGAATGAAAGGGGTAGGGATGTACCAGAGAGGATATCAAGGGTCCAGAATCATCATCATAGATGAAGGGGACTGGAAATGGGGACAAATTTAAAATATTTCACGGGAAAGACCCACGGAAAATAGTACTCAGATCAAGGTCGCCATGATTGCATTTGGATACAAACATGCATGGCTACAACGTATTGACTTTTAAGGACCTCTTCTCCAACCTCGTGCCACTGGCTCAAGGATTGATGAAAAGAAAATATTCCACGAATGGAGGTGCCAAAGAATACGCCTGTCAATGACACGAGTGCCATTGAACAAACTGTTCCGCCGCGCTGTGCAATGCAGGGACCAGCCTGTGGTGAACCGTCTTGTTGATCACAGTCACCCAAACAAGGTAAGTATGAAGAAGAAAGAAGAAAGAGAGGAAGAGGCGGGGGGGAGGCATCCTTATATACCTTTTCCCTGGGGCGGTGGCAGATTCATACAGGGCGGTGGATTCATACATGGCGGTGGCAGGGGGCCTAATCATAAGTAAGACGGCGCTAAACCCTGAAGGCAAAACTAATCAGAACAGGCAGTTCATCTGCGGGTTACAAAATAAATATACGAAAAAAAGCAAGGTAAGACCATGAACAGACATCTTCTCCAAGCGCCCGGACAAGCCGAACAGTTGATGAAGAGGATTCGCGTCAATCGGGGGTAGTGTAAGCCCGATGACACTGTGCAACGAGGCATGCGCAAGCACAGAGGCCAAGTCGCGAGGTCCAAACATTAGAATAATCATGATGTTCTGCAATGCAGAACTTTCAGCGATTAAACTGAAAAGAACAGATACTACACTTGATCTAAGCCAGAGGCAAAGAGAGCTGAAGAAGAAAGAAGATAAGACGAAGTTCTGGGGGCAGGGCCACTTTCTTATAGTTATCCTAAGGGCGGTCGGCTTCTGCCACTATTCACAAATGAGACAAACAACGAATAGGCCCGCTTAACTATATATGTAAATGGTAACGTGATGATAAGGAACGGGGTCTCTTATTTCCGGCTGACTTGTTTGGAACTGTCATTCATTTTTTGGAGGGAGACCATAATGTTTGTTTGTTTCTACAACATGGGACCTCGATCGTATTTTGGACATTACAGACACCGCCTTATTAATTTAGTACCGCTTTTGCCACCGCTTTAGTTTCAAACTCCGGTGAACCATTAACAAACTTAAGTCACTTTGCCATATCAAATGCTTCATTGTCTACTTCATTATAAAGGGGTTGAGCTTTATAGGAATCAGGTGGAATATACCTTCTTTTGATCGAAATGTAAGTTCTTATACTATGCAAAGTAGAAGTGGGCAGAATATATGGGAGAAAAAATAAAGAGTGGCAGAAATGTGGCATAATTTTAAGTGGCACTAGATCAGGAAGGCGGTACTTAGCCTTCAGGCAGGGGCCGTATCAGTTCCTCGCTCCCTTGCTTCAACTTTACCAGCTTCAGCAATGCAGCTGTATCTTATTCGCCATGCGGAAACAGTACATAATGTTGCAAAAGTCCTGTAGGAATTGATATTTCTCAATTGGCATTCCCAGTTGACTTGCACTGACTTCTTGTGATAGGGCGGGCACCACTGATTCGGCACTGACCAACCATGGAGTGGCTCAGATCAATTGCCTTGCTCAGCATTTCGTCTCCAATTCAACTAAATTCACGACGGTGTTCTCTTCTGATTTGAGCCGAGCACGAATCACAGCCGAGGGGGTCTGTCATGCACAGGTTCCATCCTCCGGTGAAACACCTTTGCAACCGATAGTTACTCAAAATTTAAGAGAGAAAGATTACGGATCGATGGAAGGCCGCTTCTGGAACACTTCTCCTCCATCGCCAAGGCCTCGAGACTGGGCTATCCCTGAGTCAAAAGAGTCGATGAGAAAGAGGGCTGAAAGCTTTTTCAACGAACACCTGCTCCCACTACTGATGCGTGATCCAAACGGCCGACAGAACATCGCAGTGGTTGCCCATGGCATTATCCTCCAAGAGCTATGGGCATATTGTATTGAGATCTTCAATCCAACAGATACACAGATTGCTCCTCGAATTCATGACACCAACATGACTACGCCTCATCGGAAACCTACCTGGTCAAACACCGGCTACATGACTGTACTGATTACCCCAGACGCGACACAAAAGACTATACTGCATACTTTCATGCCGGGCTTCGCATTTGTTGTTCTGAGTATTGACGAGAAGAAACATCTTTCCAATCTCCGTCGCACTAGGGGTGGCGTTGGAACCGCCGCGCATGACGTGAAACAAAGGAAGATTGACCAATTTTTTCGATAATCGACTTTCAACAGAGAAACTGTGGCGATGTACAAGTTCTACCATCTTCACAATGACCCAAATATTTAGTCCGTGTGAAACACCTCATCCAAGGGCTTCCACCACCCTGGACCCTCCGCACTACTCACGGCTCCGGGAATGGGACTCTCCTAATCGTGGGTTATTAGCTTCTGCATCTCTCCATTTGTATTGAATCCTCAATATACCTGCATCCCATCGGTCATAGCCCACCACTCTCTCATCTTCGGCAATGACCGCATGTTCTCCATATCAGCTTCGATATCTGTTCCGACGTACTTGAAAGTCGCAAATAGAGTCCGATCGTTGTCGAAGTAGATTGAGTCTGTAGAAAATATACCATGTTAGCCAGTTTGAACATCCAATATGATCGTACATATTTTTGGCATTGAACCTACAGTCTACAATGTTGCATTCCTTGATCTTTTGAAGGATCTCAGGCCAAACATTGGCATGGCACTCCTTGTATGCTGCAACAGCTAGGGGCTTGAGGTGGACGATTTGGGCGAAGCGACGGGGTTGAGGTTGAGGCATGATTGTTCGATATAGATTAAATATTTGAAATTAAGGCGAATTGCAAGAGACGACCAACTGCCTTTTATGCCCCGCTCTAGCTTCAACCCGCACTCGGAGTGCGTTAACCCGAGAGCTTGGCATATATCCACATGCATGGAGGCGGCTTGAATTAATATGGTCACGAGACATCATTAGAATGTAGATATATGGATACTACTCCGTACTAGTGATAGCCCATCTACATGGATGTACTTGTAATACTAGTGGTAGGTTGTACTTTCCCCTTGTATCTAACCCCCCCTGGACACCCCCCCCCACCTCCCTAAACTGATCACTGTGTCCTATTCAAACTGATCTCGCTGGTCTCTTTTCTGACTCTTTCTAATTTCCTGATTACCTTGGTCTCAGCCTGCGACTTACCACGATCTATCCGAAGAAAACACTGAAACAATGACATCAACAATTCCCGAACTTCCTATTTTCAATCTCGGCCCGTCCACACTACTGGATATTGCAACGGACTTGGTCAACCGGGTTCAACAAGCTGCGAATGACCTGGTCAACCATGTTTTGCCGCAAAACGTGACATTTGAGAATACTCTTCACCCACTGACAAATATTGACAACGAGATCAAAGGGAAAGCTCAATACCTCGCCCTTTTCCAGGCAGTTTCCCCTTCGTCAGAAATGCGGACGACATCCTCAACAGCTGTGAATATGGTGGATAAAGCATATTGGGGTGTCTTCCAGATACCGTCTCTTTTTGCTTTGGTCAACGTTGTTTATAAGCACGAGGAGGATAGCCACGCCGAGGAAAATGCAAAGAGTGAATATCGAAAACTTCAATGAGCAGTGATGCCGGCCTCCAATACCGAAAAATGATACTGGCACCTGGTGGAAGTCAAAATGAGATGATGGCACTCAAGGCATTCTTGGGGAGGTCGCCCACGCTTGACGCATATCTTCGAGATCTTGGTGCTCGTTGATAGAGCAAGCCGTGTGATTATGAGTGAATAGAACAAGTCTCACTGACTCTACCAAAGCCTCAAATAATACTGATTGGGCAAACGTCGTACTCTGCTTCGGTCTGGTTGTCGGTGTGGCTCTTCGGCAAGGCAGGATTGAGGCACCAACGGCCATAACTGGTCAGCCAAGGAGTGTACCTTGTATACATAGGATTCTGGACAAGACATATTGTAGTAAGCCCCATGTGCAGGTGCCTGAATCAGTAGACGAAGTGCATTATTGATTATTGATGTAATCAGGTTTTGACTGTCTTCGTGCAGATTGACAGGCATCCCCTTTGTGGCTTTCAGGTCTTTGTCGCTGTGTTTCCATGAAGCTATATAGAAAAAATCTCGGACCGGCTCGCTTCCGCCAAATACAGTTTAGCCAGTATCCACATTGGGAATGCGGAAGGCAGATCAGTCTCCACTCTGTATCTCTTGGCGTTATCAGCATCTCACCAATTGTTCGCGGGTCGGATATTTGGGTCGTCTGCATTTTTATACTTCCCCATTTGCCACACTACGACCCATGGCCGACAAGACAAATCCCAAGGGGACAGCCCCTTCGAGCGACCCTCCTCCCGGCCACGAGAACACCTCTAAGTCTCAACCAGGCTCAGTGCCCCCTGTGATTAGGCACCAGCCAGGGCGCTAGGTGGGCATGACTCAACTTACCTCTCCAGCAAGGGCAACACCTAGCCAAACTGCCAGTCCAACTTCTAGTAGAGCTACTAGAGCTTCGCCCCTTACAACTGAAGATGATCTCAACCTACTACGCATTGCCGTTGACTATAAAGATCGGTTTACTACCATGAAGGGTAATGCCGTTCTTTATGAGGCGAATGCAGAAGTATGGAGAGCCCATGCCGGGCAGAATATCAGTCACCAAACGGTTCATAAGCACATCACTGACAGGCTAAAAGAGCATTCCGCCATACTTGCTATACCGGAACCTGACCGCGCTAAACTGAACGCTACCGAAGCTGCTATGTTTGACTACGGCAATGAGATTTACGAAATGCTACAAGAGAATGCAGTGGCAGAGCAGCGACGAAGAGATCGCAGGGCTCGTGCGGATACTAAGGCTCAGGCAAGTACCGACTCTGTGCGGGATGACACAGCCGATGAATTAGAGCAACCAGCAAGGGAAAAAAGGCCCAGAAATCCGGTGGACTCTGAGAGGAAGAAATGCAGCAATTAACCTGTCTACGTATAGCATACCTTACTAATTATAATATAGAAAGTGAGCGGCCAACAGCCCGGCCACGAACCCTACCTCCCTCGCCATTGCCTTCCTCGCCACCACTGCAAACAGAAATCGCTCTATTTCTTAGTATGATGAACAGTCGAGCAGCCCTAGAAGCTTCAACCGGGGCTAAAAAGGAAGATATCACTCGGCTAGAAACTCGAATGGATAGCATGGCTGTTACTATGGAGGGATGATGAGTTTGCTTAGAACCATTACGCACAGGCTGCCAAAGTAATTAAACTTCATTTTCATACAAATTAATTTACAGAACGAATCTCAACTGTACATACACTTAAAGTATCGAAAGTATTAGTATATTGTCTCTTTCATGATAGGGTCTGACTCTTAGGAATAGGACGAATCCAAGAAACGGCCAAATTGGTTGCCAGAGATATCACACCGATGATCCATAGGGATCGCCCGTAGTTTGACCCATTGTATCTGAAGATAATAGCAAAGATGATACCCCCAAGATTACCGAGACCACCAACAATTCCAGAAACAATACCTAGTGACAAGATGTTAGCTCGATATTTAAGAAGTAATAACGGAATCACGTACCATTAGCAAAAGGATACACATGAGGGACAAGAGCAAAGTTAGCCCCATTAGATGCCTCAATGAAGAAAGCCAGGCCGGCGACAAGACCGAACATGGTCGCTTCCGTGGACGGGTTCGACAACCCGATCGCAAGCTGGAAAGCTCCCATGCCGATCCCCAAAAAGGCGATCAAAATCTTTTTAGACCAGGCCGTGCCTGTATATAGGTAAACCAAGTCTCCAAATAGACCACCCGCAGGCCGACAGACGACGTTGAGCAGGCCGAACATGGCAGCCCACTGTCCCGATTTCGTTTGGCTCATGTGTGGGAATTGTTCTGTGTAGTAAGATCCCACCATCGAGTTGATTGCTAGCTCTGAGCCGAACGAGCAGGCATAGGGAATTGCCAGGGCCATAGTGGATAGACTCATGGCTACGTTCAGGGCTTCTCGCCGAGTCGGGGAGACGACTGTCTCTTGTCGGAAGATGTCGATCTGGCCCGTTGCTGGTGTATCGTCTATGACATGTGGTGATTGGGTACCTTTCTTTTCGATGTCGATTGTGGCGGCATTGTGGGGTGTCATCGTTCCGCTCGAAGAAGTGCAGGAGTTGATGTCGACGATGTTGGCGTTGGGGGCCGAGGTAGTGCCATTTGAATCTTTCGCCCAGAGGTTTCTCTCAGACCACTTTCCTGTCGGTGTATCTTCGCAGAGGACTAACATGCATAGGGCGACAGCGGTGATGATGATGAATGGAATGACGTAGGCGATACGCCATGCTTTGTGAGAAGGGATGCCGCGGGATTGGACGAGGGAGTCGTAAATGGCGGGCATTACAAAGCTTCATTGCTTTCGTTAGTGGATTAATAGGAGAAGGGGAAAAGGTAGACACCTACTATGTGATTCCTCCGCCTGCATTGCCCCAGCCTCCAGAGAGAGAATTGGCAGCACCAACAATGCTTTTGTCGAAGAAACCAGTGCACCAGACCTGGCATGGGACGAAAGTGCCTCCCAGAATTCCAATGAAAAATCGTAGCGCTATTAGGCCCTTGGGGCCAGTGACGAGACCGGCCATAGCAGTAGGGATGGCTCCGCATAGAAGTAGTCCTACGAAGACCAATCGTGGGCCATAACGATCACAAAGTGGCCCTGCAACAAATCGGACGAGTAGACTGTAGCGGTCAGAGAGGTGTTTTCGACTGATTCTATATTGTGGTACCTACGTTGCCAGGAGTGCCACAATATTTGAGTTGGCAACATCTTCTTGTGTCATTTTCAAATCCTTTTTGATAGTCACATTCAACTGGGAAGCCGGAGATTAGAGACTGCGTTCTTTTGGTATATAAAACCTGATGGGACTTTTTATTGTGAACTCACCAGTGGTGGAAAGGCATACCATGATAGGAATGCCACCATGAAGCCAAGCCATGAGAAGAAGAACACCCGTCCATATTTATCGAAAGGATTCAATACTGGAATAGATTTCGCTTTGTGGGTACTTGGGTTGATTTCCGGTGATACATAGAGGCGTTTAAAAAACCCTGGTGCCATTTTGGTTGGCTCTTTGTGTAGTCGAGCGATGAGATGAAAGTAGGCTCGGATTACTTGATATAACCTTGTGGATTAAATGGAAGTAAGAGCTCTTTCGGAGATTTAGGAGAAAATTCAAGAATAGATAGACCTTCGTATCTATATAGACGTTTAGTGTGCTTTGCTTGCTGAAGTATATATCGCAACTGCATCTTGCCATGACACATGCAAGCACAATCAGTCTGATATTCTGCCTGTCAGGTTGTCCAATCACCGCAAATAGCCACGTGCTGTCAATCAAAAAGAGTTAGTCAAGGCACCGAATACTCCGTTATCTCAGGTCGCTGATTTGATACAGCGTAAGGACAAGGTTGCAGCAAGATCATCAGACCCTGGAATCAATGCGGAACTTAATTTTTGCCCCAGACTTCATCCCTGAAACTTCCGCAGTATCCTGCCATGATATGCTGGTAGAGATAAGGTACGAAGTAGAATGACCTATAGCAGTGTAGGATGTATACTGTACCAGATTCCATGATTGGAGGGAAAGCCTGATAGTGTGATTCAGTCCAGTTCATATAACTCCGCGGACCTTCAATTGACTTAAAGCTTACATCATAACGTTCTACCGAACCTAGGAACGGGTCTTTTGCTCCACGTTGCCCAGAAATCCATATCGTTGATAAACGCGGGCCTCCTCATTGGATGCCAAGCCAACCGCGATAGGAACTGAAGAGTTCAGCCGGGGTCTTTGTATTGGACGACCTTGGCGATTTGAGCTCCGCGGAAATACTTAATTCTGACTGTGACTCCAGTTAATGGATTCAGGGTTATGGGTTCTGGGGTGAACCCTACCGAAGATCTGGTACAATCCACCGGTCTAAAATTAGGGCTTCTTTTAGCAAACGCTTTCTAACAATCGGCCTGAGTATCTCTTTTCCCTGTAACTTTTACTATGAGCAAAATTCAATATCTCCTATTTACTTGATACACCGAGATAAGAGGATTTAGCGTTGACTGTAGAAATAATAGGCCGTGGCAGTTTGTACATTCGCTAGATAACTAGTCAATAGTACTCAGTATACCAAATATAGGAGATCTTCATGTGTTGTTAAAAGTCATCGAGCCTCATCACTGGGTAACTCTTCATAGGTGGTGTATAAATACCTGTAACCACTGTTGGTTGATCAGAGCCAGGCTTTAAACCATCTGATGAAGAGTTAGAGGAATTAATAAGAACCTGGAGATGAGAGTCGTCTAATCAATTCCATGTCTCAGATATGTATCGAGGTCACCGTCTTTATATATTGGAATGACCTAGCATCTGAAGATGCCTCTTATGTGGTCTAAGGCGGCGATATATACTGGCTTCTTTGGCAATATTTACGTAGCATGTGATCTTCCATCGGTCCAGGAAAAGAAGTAGTGAAAACAATTTATGCAAAGCACATACATTCTCAAGTGTACTCATAAGGCCATTTTTCATCTCGATGTTCCCATATGCAACATATTCCATCGCATAATCTGCAACTACCAATCAATGGACTTGGCTGGTTGCACCGCTGATACACCAGTCAAAAAGCCATCGGTGACCTTCTTCCCCTTCATACCCTTGAACTTCTTATCAACCTTGTGGAAAGGATCCTCCGTCTCACTCTTACGCACTTTCCACTTCTCCGTGCCCAAAATCGAATCCAACTCCTCAATCGGCGGAAGTTTGACATATACCCAGCCATCGTCCCTCTCCTCAACAGGGAACGTAGCAATATTCATACTCTCATCATTTGAGCAACGACCCGCCTGTTCACCGTTGAGCTCGAAGTTGCGCTTGTGATACGGACACGACACCCAATATTTCCCAGCATCATCATCGCCAACGAGGCCATCAGAAAGAACAAAAGCTCGTTTGTGCGGGCACATCTGCTGCGTCGCATAGAACTTGCCCTTGATCTTGAAGATAGCAAGCTGCGTGTCACCGCGCTTGACATTCGCCGATGACACCTGAGGTGGCTCGTCGGAGAAATGATCTGCTCGGACAACTGGCTGCCAGGAGACACTTGACCACTTGTGGCCTTTGAAATCCTCTCGCTCGGCAGAGTCCTTGGGCCAGTATGTGGGTCGCTGCTGGGATCGTTCTTGGATAACTTCTACCGTCTCGACCGTTTCGTCTGTGTTTGCAAATTGTTGGAAGACTTTTCGGCGCTTGGGGTCTTTGACGGTCTCGGTCCACTCGCAGAAGTAAGTATCGACTAGTTCGCGCATTTGCTTTTCCATGTCGGCGCAGATCCCAAGTTTATCATCCACGATCACTTCTTTGAGGTAGTGGATTCCGCCCGGAAGATTTTCGATCCATCGTGCTGTTCGCTGGAGCTTGTCGGCGGTGCGGATATAGAAGATCAGGTAGCGGTCGATTATGGGCATCACCATCTCCGCTGGCACATCTGTAACAAGGAGTTCGGCGTGTCTAGGTTTTGCACCTCCGTTGCCTCCAACAAATATGTTGAACCCATTTTCGGTGGCGATGAGCCCGAAGCTGGCAACTATTAGTCCTGAGTGTTTTCACCAGCGTAGGATTTGCACTCACTCTTTGTTTTGGGCCTCGGCACACTCTCGTACGCAGCCAGATACAGCTCCCTTGAATTTATGAGGCGCACGAATGCTCTTGTATCGCTCTTCCAGTCGAATTGCCATGCCGACACTGTCGCCAACACCGAAGCGACACCATGTGGTTCCAACGCAACTCTGAACGTTCACTGTCAGTTGGTACTCTCTTGAAGATAATTGCTCCACGTACTTTGATTGCTCGAAGAGCCTTTGCATATGCGTGTCCGCTCTCCATACCCGCATCCACAAGTTCCGTCCAGATATTTAGAAGATCCTGCTTCTTCGCACCGAACATGTCGATGCGCTGGGCACCGGTGATTTTGCAATACAGACCGTATTTCTTGGCTACAGATCCGATAGCAATGAGTTTATCGGCCGTGATTTCACCACCTGGAATTCGGGGCACCACAGAGAATGTGCCGTTTCTTTGGATGTTGGCCAGAAACTTGTCGTTTGTATCTTGCAAGTCATTGATACCCTTGTCCATGACGTGCGGATTGAACAAACTAGACAGAATGGAACCAATTGCGGGCTTGCAAAGTTCGCAACCAAGAGATTCTGGGTTCTTTCCGACGGCTTTCATGATATCGACAAAGGTTTTCAGTTGCTTGATGGCCACGATGTTGTATAGATCGGCTCGGGAGTAGGGAATATGTGAACACACTGAAAATGTTAATGATGACAGGAGCTAGCACTGGAGAAAGTTGATATTACTTACGGTGGTTTGATACCTCTTGTCCCATTTCAAGCATTGTCTTGTTGAAGATTGACTGAACAAGAGGCATGCAACCTCCACAGCCTGTTCCTGCTTTCGTGCATGACTTGACTTGTGCAATGGTTGTGCATGTGCCATTCTTCACATTATCGGCCACATCTCCCTTGGTGACATTGTGGCATGAACAGATCTGAGTGCTGTCATCACTGCAGAGATGAGTTAGAATTTCTCCCCAATAGCAGAACTAACGATACTCACAGGTCATCTGCATTTTCCTCCCCGCCATTTTGGGCACCAAGGATGAATTGACTTGGAGGAACCTCGAGTTCTTTCTGAAGCTTAACCATCTGATTCAACTTCAGATAGTCTTTGGTATCTCCAATCATCATGCCACCAAGCAAGAATTTGCCGTCCATAGTAAACAAGTACTTCTTGTACACTCCACTAAAGGGGTCCTTATATGTCAAAGCCTTCACAGGAGGCTCCTCTAGTGAAGTATCCCCTCCCAGACCAGGGCCAGTGGAAGGTCGACGACCGGGAAGAAATTTCGGCCCATCTCTGTCAGCAAAGAAGTCACCGAAACTAGCGACATCAACTCCGAGAAGCTTCAACTTTGTGCTGAGGTCCGGCCGCGTGAAACCCCTAGGCTGTTTATCTGGGTTGGTCAGATTGAAGGCGAGCACATCGGCCATCTCAATGCCGGGAGCAATGATTCCGAATGTCTGGTTCTCCCAGCTTGCGCATTCTCCGACAGCGTAGATATCTGGGATTGAAGTTTGCAGACTATGCAAGTTAGTTGGAGACTGACCAAAAGACTGTTAATGGACGAACCATTCATCGATCACAAATCCTCCACGCTCACCACACTGGATCCCAATGTTACGACCCAGCTCATCTCGAGGTTGAACTCCAATCTAAGTCTGAATCAGCACATCCATCATCAGACGAAAGCAAACAAGGACACATACCGCAAAGCAAATACAGCAACAATCAATGCTCTCACCATCCTCGAAAGTAATCCCTGTCACATTATTTCCCTCGTCGGTATGAACAATCTTGACCCGTTTCTGATGGAGAACATCAAGTCCCAACTCCTGGATCTTGCGAGTGACCAAGGACCCTGCATCTCCGTCTAGCTGTCGCGCCAGGACCCATTTATTCCGATCAATCAATTTGACATTTCCGAAATCCTCCAGGTCTGTCATCGCCTTCGCAGCTTCCAGGCCTAGTAGTCCGCCCCCGACTGTAACAGCCGTTTGGCCTTTATGCTGAGCAGCAAAGTCGATGAGGCGTTCCAAGTCTGAGATAGTTCGATATACGAAGACGCCTTTGGCATCGTAACCAGGTGTGTGTGTTGGAAGAGTTGCATCGGAGCCTGTTGCGAGGACGAGGATGTCATAGGCTATAGTGTCACCGGTGGAGGTTTGGACAGTTTTCTCCTTGGGATTGATTGCTGTTACTCGTGTGTTGATGTGGTGATCGAAGGATCGTTCTTTGAACGAGTCATACTAATAAGGTGTTTTTTTATTAGGTCTTATGTTCTTCGCTCTCGAATAGGTGAAGGCTTACCCATTCCGTTGGATTGAGGTATAAGTCCTCAATCTTGCGATGCTCGAAAAACGACGAGAGTCCGACGCGGTTGTATGCTACATGGGACTCTTCGCCGATGACAACGATGTCGTATTTTCGCTCCGTATCCTGTTTAATAATCTTCTCGCTAGTTTTTGTTAGAAAATTTCTCATGTCCGTCGTTGAATTTTCCTTACATGAGTGAGATAGCCACCATTCCCAGCCCAACTACTACGATTTTCTGGCGCTGGACATGAGTTGCAGGACTAGGGCTGCCATCGACTGGCTCCCCATATCGTAGTCCATCCAGCACAGGCATGGTTGAGACTGGACAAGGTGAGATGAGTACGGTACAAGCACTGACGACTACGGAACACGGCAATCATTCTAATTTTAAGAAAAGTAAATTGTCCCACTGGGTGTGTCACTACAATGAGATTCGTACGAATGAACAAATCAAGGCTAATCTGGTCATGGAATCGGAAGAATCAGGAAAGTTCTCTCAGGAGATTAGTTGGTTCGATCTCCGCGGAGATGATGTTTTTATGTTGGCTGTGATTGGCTGTTAGGGTTTCGGGTTTATCTGAACGTCTAAAGATAAGAATGAACAATAAGATACATACTTGACTAGACTTGACGAAACTCTGATCTCACGGCATGTGGAGGGCTGTGGATCAGAAGGGGGTTCAGGGTCCGCGGAGATCTGAAAAGTGCTATACTGGCGATGATATTGGGGCGGAGCCGAGGATCTTAGGCCTAGATGCTGCTATTCCACAGCAAAATGTGAATATTTGGACGTTTAGGACTATTTGGATTCATTCTACTCGGTTTTTACAATATTTTTGATCTTATTTTAGAGCAATTTCGAGGGTCTCTTATACCAACAATTTGATAACAGCCTCGCGCCAGCACCATCATGGCCAGCATAACCACACAGACGATAACAGAGTCCCAAACGATCTCTCAAATAACAATCGAGAACATCATACCAAGTCCAGGGGAGCTAGACATCCCACTTCCACCACCGTCGAAGAACCTTGTCGACATCTTGGATGTGGATAAAGGCACACCGGATAGCCATGTACCTCGCGATCCACGATTGATTCGGTTAACGGGAGTTCATCCATTCAATGTGGAGCCACCATTGACGGCTTTATACAAAGAAGGTATCTATTCCCATATGTCATAGCGAAGCTCACAAGCTAAGCGGATACCGAAGGCTTTCTCACACCCCCGGAACTGTTCTATGTTCGGAACCACGGGCCAGTGCCCCAGGTCCGCGATGAGGATATCCCAGATTGGGAGATTAGTATAGAAGGGTGAGTGCGATCGAAATTATGCTCGCAGGCTTCGAACGGGAACTGATTGATGAGCTAGGTTGGTTGAGAAGCCATTAGTCCTGAGCTTCTGCGAAGTGCTTCAGAAGTACGACCAGATTACCGCCCCGATCACACTCGTATGTGCAGGCAACAGACGCAAAGAACAGAACACAGTCCGGAAGTCGAAGGGCTTCTCATGGGGTGCGGCTGGTTTATCGACAGCGCTATTCACAGGGCCTATGATGGCGGATATTCTACGCAGTGCGAAGCCACTTCGAGGAGCGAAGTATGTCTGTATGGAGGGCGCTGATAAGCTGGTGAGACTTCCTATATCAAGATTTGAGGGTTTCAGGAACCATCCTCGAGTTAAGACTGACACATTCCATAGCCGAATGGATTTTACGGAACTTCGGTCAAATTGAACTGGGCCATGGACCCAAACCGAGGAATTATGCTGGCTCATAAAATGAATGGCGAAGACCTTCGGCCGGATCATGGCCGCCCCTTGAGGGCAGTGGTGCCTGGCCAAATCGGAGGTCGGAGCGTGAAATGGCTGAAGAAGTTGATTCTGACTGATACCCCAAGCGATAACTGGTATCATATCAATGATAACCGAGTACTCCCGTAAGTCTTACGCTAAACGATCGCGCAGTGAGTCATGCTAACAGTTGTCAGGACAATGGTGACGCCGGAAATGTCCTCCCAGGATCGCAAGTGGTGGACCGATGAGCGATATGCTATTTATGAACTCAACGTCAATTCGGTGGCTGTGTATCCACAACACGAGGAAGAAATCGATATATCCACAGCTGGGCCCACGTATACAGTCAAAGGATATGCATACGCCGGGGGTGGCCGGAGGATAATAAAAGTGGAGATTTCTCTAGACAGGGGCAAATGTAATTGCACCCCGGACCAAAGGATGGAACGTGGCTAACATCTCTGGTCCTTTAGCATGGCGCCTCACCGAGATCGAGTATGCAGAAGACAAATACCGTGATTTTGACGGCGACCTGTTCGGTGGCAAGGTAGACATGTGGTGGAGGGAAGCATCTTTCTGCTGGTCTTTCTGGTCGTTGGAAGTCCCAGTGGCAGACCTAGAGACTAGCGATGCAATCCTAGTCCGTGCAGTGGATGAGGCATTAAGCGCTATGCCGCGTGACATGTACTGGTCTGTCTTGGGCATGATGAATAACCCCTGGTTCAGAGTGGCAATCACGAAACAAGGAAGTACGCTGAAATTTGAACATCCCACACATCCAGCCAAAGCTGGCGGATGGATGGAAAGAGTCAAGAAGACTGGTGGTGACCTGCTTAATGGTAACTGGGGCGAAAGGGTTGAAGGCGAGGAGCTCGTCGAACCGGAGCCTATGCAAGAAATAAATATGAAGAAAGACGGCGTGAACAGACAAATCGACCTGCAAGAGTTGAAAGCTAATAGCAGCAGCGAAAAGCCATGGTTTGTTGTAAATGGCGAAGTGTATGATGGCACAGGCTTCCTCGAAGGCCACCCCGGAGGAGCGATCAGTATTACATCTTCTGCTGGTTTGGATGTATCAGAAGACTTCCTTGCAATCCGTGAGTCGAGATTAAAATACCTTCAGACTATTGCACCGCTAATTTGCTCTTAGACAGTGAAACTGCTAAGGCAATGATGCCGGATTACCATATTGGCACATTAGACAAAGCATCTCTTGAAGCGATGAAGAGCGATTCGGCTGCGGATTCCGATGAGCCACGCGCAGTGTTCCTTCAGTCTCGAGCATGGACAAAAGCCACTCTCACAGAGAAGAGAGATGTATCCTGGGATACACGGGTATTCGTGTTCGACCTGGAACATGAGAAGCAGACGCTCGGCCTACCAATCGGCCAGCATCTGATGATTAAAGTCCAGGATCCATCCAATAACGAAGCAGTCATAAGATCCTATACGCCAATGTCAGACACAAACCTGATAGGCAAGATGGAGTTACTTGTGAAGGTCTACTTCCCAACGGAAAGCATTCCAGGAGGAAAAATGACCATGGCTCTCGACAAGCTTCCCCTGAGCTCTGAGATCGAGTGCAAGGGTCCAACGGGCCGGTTTGAATACCTCGGCAACGGCCGGGTTTCGATCAGTGGTAAAGAACGCCAGCTCCGCTCGTTTAAGATGATCTGTGGAGGAACGGGAATCACACCAGTCTTTCAGGTTCTGCGGGCTGTTATGCAAGACACGCAAGATCCCACGACATGTGTTGTGCTAGACGGCAACAGGCAGGAAGAAGATATATTGTGTCGTTCGGACCTTGATGCTTACGTGGAGACTGACTGTCGGAAATGCACTGTCGTGCATACATTGACTCAAGGGTCGGATAGGTGGACTGGTCGTCGGGGCCGTATTTCTGAGGAACTGCTCGCAGAGTATGCGGCTCCAGAAGAGCAGAGTATGGTTCTGGTCTGTGGGCCAGGGCCTATGGAGAAGTCTGCTCGCGGAATTCTTCTTGCCCAAGGTTGGGCCGAGTCGGATCTTCACTTCTTCTAGGTTTGATGTGTCTATTTTGCATATCAGGGCATGTAACATTGGTTGTGTTTGAGTTGTACAATAAAAATGGATATGAGGCAACAACGGAAGCCGGAAGGGTATAGAGACACTGGGCTTTCATTTGCATAGACACGAAATGAATTTTGAAGGAAAGTCGTCAATCATGAGTTGTAACATGTCCAAGCAGTACAGATAAATCGGGTGATAAAAGTACCAACTAAGCTCCAGTAGGTTGCTCTTTACACATTCCGAATGTGGACGAATTGCTTCCTTCAATCAATAATAGTTCTTGACGTCTAATCTCACTCGTAGATGCTCAAAAACGCTGGTTGGGTCTGTCCGCGAAGAGAAGAATTCCCCTGATTTAGCCATTGATTTCGAAGTGGCTTTTCCGGACTCCATGCTGCGAAGGTAATTGACAAAGGCGGAGGTCTGTTTTCTGAAAGACTGATACAGGTGGAGAACAGCCCCTTCGCTTTCGTTGCGCATCCCAATTCCATCTGCCCTTGAGAGAAGGCCGAAACTGAGAATAGTGCCGAAAATTGACTCGAGCAGTTTGGCAGCCTGCGCATGGCGCTTACTGAGGAATAATGCGAACAACATCTGGTCAAGGATATCTTCGTGATAGTCGCGAAGTCGTGGTACCGAGTGAGCCGCTTCAATCGTACCGTCGATGTCACCGCGGTTGAGGCAGTGCTCGATTTTGGTAAGTGTGTCTTGAAAGCGCTGCCAGATGGACCCAATTCCAATATGGAAGCAGTAATCACTTACCGCTAGCACAAAGTGCTGGGCATCCATTCTGAACTTCTGGTACACATTGTGTGTGTCTCCTGATAGAGATCCTCGGGCAGTAGAATCCCGGATAAGTCGTTTAACGGCAGAAGCCATGCGGATTAACCGGAGCAAATGCTTGAACAGACAATCATACTTATTCAAAGAGCGAGCAGTAATGAGAGATTCAAGAACTTCTGGTGGTGTGTACTGCAGACGAAGGAAGTCCAAAGCCTCTATTGCATTCGGATTTTTACATCCTTCAATTTCTTCGTCTGTCAATTCTCGAATTCCGAAGCTCAGGCCACCAGGCAATTCCTTGTCCTTCTGGGCGTGCGTTTTTTCGTCATCTTCTGTATTTGTGCCACCAAAGTAACAATCTCCGAGCAGACCAATTAAGACGAGTCGCAACTCTGAACTAGCTGGCGGCCATGTGTCACGACTGCCGAGGCGTAGACCGGTGTCGACACCACTGCGCACTTTTCCAGCCCTTCGCTCTCCACTTTCCATTTCCGGGTCGAACAGTGAATTAGAAAGACGAGCGACAAACGAGCCCTCTCCCAGCAACTGGAAACGCCATTGCATGTTCAGATGATGGCGAATTCGATGCTCTTTGAAGAGAAGGTGCAGGCAAGAGTAGTCGATGAGAAGTGCCTGTGACGAAAGAATGGGAGCAAGGGATAAATGGAGGCCATATGTCAACTCAGGACCAAGATAGCTTCTTTCATTGGTATCTTCGGCTTCAAATCCCCGGGCTTTATCGAGCAGTCGCTTGAGGCCATCTTTCGAAAGAGCCTTGTAATCCGTCACTGGTCCTGAATCATTTTTTTCATCGTCGATATCGAAGAGTTGAAAGGCTGTCGTTGTAACCTCTGTGTTGGCAGTTTGATCGACGGTCTGGGTGACCACATTTGATGATGAATCCTGCAAGCCTGCATCCCCCTGATGATATTTCTTGATCTCAGCGCGGAGTCTTGACTCGTATTCCTGGGCTTTTGTTTGAATTTGCTCAATGCCAGCCCAGGTGGTCGCACAATGCAGATGGAGACCACCGATTCGTGAGAGAACATCGCGCCGTGCGATAGGATGACGAGGATGGGATCGTTTCAATAGTTGAAGACTTCGCCCACACTCAAAGATAGAACGGGCTTGGTCGGCCGGGATGAAAGACGGCATGTGCTCCGCTTGGTAGATATAGTCAATTCGCGCTGGCCCAGTCTTGAACTTGCCACGGTCATAAGTTTCCAGTCGGACGAAGCTTTTGTCGTTTGTCATATATTCTTTGAGAGCTGCGTCTTCGGATCTAAGCCCAATCCAAGTCTCGATGAATCCGAACCATGGCTGAGTCACTCGAATCACAATCTCATGCACAAGGTTCTCGATCCAGCCAAACTTCTGGGCAAAAAAAGCTGCACGTTCCACGACAATTGATATGACTTGTGCGTCCGAGACAGCCCTTTGTGCAGCGCCAACAATAGCTGCCAGGACGCCTACCACGTCCCCGCAGCGGTGAAATAGTGCCTTTATTTGTAGAAGTGAAGCAATATTTTTTGAATGATCGGAGATCTGTTGTTCCAGGTTAAAGATTATTATCTCAACCGTGCTAGTTAATGTGAAAAACGTAGAAAGTTCTCTGTAGTTGGCTGGCGGGTCTTGGGCAAATAACCGCAGGCGCTGCATGTTGGTACCGCATTGTACCACATTTTCGATCACATTTTCCAAGGCCATCAGGCTAATACCAGAGACTCGGATATTATCCTTCAAACATCTTTCAAATTGGTTGGTTCGTTGATCGTAGCGAAAGAATGCAGAGCTCCAGCCAAGCCCAAGACGAAGTAGTGATCGAATGAACACATCTGTTCGAACAATTCGAGTAGGCGCACCGTCTTTCTTTACCATGTTTCGTTGTACCAAGGCTGCATCGAAGCCCTGTGCTCCAGATTCGCTAAAATAGGCTGACACAGGCTCTTGGAAAGACTTATGTTGATACCTCTCCCACGATTTCTGCGGGGGTATTTGACCAGGTTCTTCCTGAAGTAAATCCAAAGACCAGATATCGTTGTTGTCGCCTGATATGTCTCTTAAAGAATCACATGTTGTGTCAGACTCGCTGTCTATGGAGGGATTGATGCTCGAGTCGGTAACTGATTCTGGTTTCTCCAAGCCGGTTGGAAAGAGATCCAGCTTCCATACAGGGTCGATCTTGTCTTCAGGCTGTGGGTATATCTCAAAACAAGATGTAGTATCACCTATAAATAAATGAGTGTTATTGAAGGCCCTAAAGTATCTGCGGTTGAGACTTACCACTTAGAGTAGTGTTCCATGGTAACGATCCCAATGGCTGCAGAGCTTCTATGCTGAATTTGGAGAGTCTCCAGAGGCTTTCACTCGAGAAAGGATCCAGCTCATGATCATAGTCCATAGTGAGACCATGCTCAGATGAGCAAGATGTTTGACGCGTGAAAGTCCTAGGTCCCGCGACGGAGATGGTTATCGCCGTGCACAGACCGATAACAGAAAGTGCCTGCTCGAAGCTCAATACCACCTATCCCACTACAATTCAGTCATTCCTACTTCCTGTGATCCTCGGATATTGCATCGAAGCTACAATGCCTCCAAAAAAGAAGACCAAGCGCGCGCACTCGCCTACACCGCAAGAAGATACCGTGGCGGAGTCAAGCGCAAACACCCCGTCAAGCGACAGCGCCGGCAAGTCAGACACGGACTACGACCTCATCACAGATCCCTGGACAGATGAGCAAGAAACTGCTCTACTCAAAGCGATCATAAAATGGAAGCCAGTCGGTGAGTTTAATTCTCACCTCTGTTGAGTCGACAGCGCAGCTAACGGACCGGGCCCATAGGCATACACAAGCATTTTCGCATGCTCGCAATCTCGGATTACTTAAAGAGCCAAGGATACGCGCCCTCTACGGCGGAACATATGCGGATTCCAGGGATCTGGAAGAAGCTAGGCTCATTATACAATTTGGAAGCTCTTGACGAACGGGTAAGCGGCGAATGATGGCTTGTTCGCGCTGGTTCATTTTGCTGATTAGAGATATCTTTACAGGAAGATTCGGCGATCACCGATGTGAACGAAGACGATAAAGGGTCGAGTGAGATGTATTGTGCATTTGAGCTCCCGTATGACGAGTACGGCGACATGATGTTTGACAGGCGGCTTGCGATGGAAGAGTCCCTGTCTCCTGTCACCAGTCGCGCCAGTCGTGCAGGCGGATCGCGACGAGGAAGCACAGTCGCAGATACAGATGGTAAGGAGTGACATTATCTACAGCATGGGCTACAACCCATAAACTGACTTCTTGCCCGGCACAGAACCACGATCTTCTCCTGTCCCGTCTCGAAACCGCAAACCACGTCCCTCCACGCGTGGAACGCGCTCAACTCGGCTGCAGGTGGAAATAGGCCCAGGGAGTCAAGGCAAAATATCAGATGAAGGGGGTGATTCGGCAGAAGACACTGGTGCGAATGATGAGGATGACGAGGAAGGCGAGGATGGGAATAGCGAAGAAGATGAGGGTGAGGGCGAAAAAGGTGGTTCACGGAGTACCCGAGCGCAGACATCTCGTTCCAAAGCCAAAGATAATAGGCCTTCGACTGGCACTGCGACACGCAGGACTGCCCGACGGCGTTAACATGGCCGAGTTTTCGATGTGGGTTTTGTCCTTTGATACCAATGGTGTTTGGATGGCGTTTTCTTTTGCTTTATAGATGTGTGTGGCCAAGTAGGCATCTTGTACCCTATTGCTATAGTAGCAGAACCGATCAATCTACGATATAGATCTACCAAGATATTATCAAAGGAAATTCGAGGTTTTTCGGGAATCAGGCCTCCAGGTAAACCAAAACTCGGTATATTTCGATCGCTATAGGTCTAATGTTGTTCGAACGGTACAAAGGGAATAGATCAGTGTGTCATAGTACAAGGAGTGTCCGCAGCGCGTGGTTTACAGGCGCTTGATGATAGCCCCAGCATACTCCTGGGTCTTGGCCTTACCTCCAAGGTCACCGGTGAGGGTCTAAAGGTCATGGGGTCAGTAATGCGCGGTATCTGTAGGAATAAATGCAAAAACTCACCTTGCCCTCGGCGAGAGTGTCGAAGATAGCCTTCTGGATGCGGTTAGCGTGGTCGGAGAGACCCATGTGCTGCAGCATCATGACACTGCTCAGAAGCATAGCAGTGGGGTTGGCGAGGCCCTTGCCGGCAATATCGGGGGCGGAGCCGTGGACGGCCTCGAAGATGGAGCACTCGTCACCAATGTTACCGGAGGGGGTGAGACCGAGACCACCGATCAGACCGGCGCACATGTCGGACAAAATGTCACCGTACAGGTTGGGCATAACGAGGACCTTGTCGTTGTAGGGGGTAGGGTCAGTGACGATACGCAGGCATGTGTTGTCCAGCAGCTCAGCGTCGAACTCGATGTCGGGGAATTCCTTAGCGATCTCACGAGCGGTGTTGAGGAACAGACCGTCGGACATCTTCATGATGGTGGCCTTGTGGACAACGCGGACCTTCTTCTTGTTGATGGACTGCGCGTACTGGAAGGCAAAACGGAGGACACGCTCGGAAGCCTCGCGGGTGATGAGCTTGATGCTCTGCACGACACCGTCGACGACAACGTGCTCAATACCGGAGTATTCACCCTCGGTGTTCTCACGGATGAGAACGGTGTCGACGTTGTCGTATGGGGTCTTGTAGCCAGCAATGGAGCGGCAAGGACGCAGATTGGCGAACAGGTTGAAAGTACGGCGGAGAGTCAAGTTCAGAGAGATGTGACCCTTGCCAACGGGGGTCTAGAAAGGCAAAGGTTAGTATCATAATCCAGATGCAAGATATATATGGGAAATTGGAAGCTAGAACATACAGCGAGAGGACCCTTGAGGGCGACGTAGTTACGGCGCACACTAGCGACGGCTTCGTCGGGAATGGCGGTCTTGCCATCCTTCAAGATGGGGGTGACATCAACGGATTCCCACTTGATGGGGGCCTGTTATTGACTTAGTATTTCGATCACGTTAGAGAGTTAACATGCTCATACCTTGGCAGCCTCGAAGATGTCCTTAATGGACTGAGAGATCTCAGGACCAATACCGTCACCCTCAATCAGAGTAACAATGTATTTGCCCTATTAGAAATAGCAGATCAATTAGCATTGCCGTTGAGAATATACGTGGTGATGTTCTCGAATTATGGTCGCTGTGCGCTGCGCGGCTGGCACCGGCATAGATGGATAACCGGGCTCGGTTGGAAGGAACATACATCAGGACCTTTCTGACCCTTAAACTTGGCAACAGCCTCCTGTGCAGGGCTGGCGTAGAACCGAATCTATTCAAAAGCTCGAGAGTTAGTCAATTGAGCTCTGAATAGTTAGCTACTGAGTGTCCTGAGGGGTTGGTACCTGCGCGATAGGAGCAGCAAATCGGGGTGTCACGCGGGACGAGCGCATGCACTGGCGAGCGACAGAGAAGTTTCTGGTGGCAATCATCTTGATATATTCCCTTTAGTTTCTTGGGTAGAAGTTAAAGAGGTGGTGAGAAAGAATGAAGGAAGGAGAAGTTGGGAAGGAATGAAATCTCTCGGCGCCGTACCGATCCGACCGGCTCTCAGACCGCATTGGTTGTTTCATTTCCCCTCCGGCCCGAGTCCACTCTTTTACCTGGTGCTGGTGTCCACTCTTGACGACCAGCTATAGGGTCTCAGCTGTTGATTAGGGTTCTGCTATCAGAGGATATCAGATCTTGGTCACCTGCAGAAAGGCATAGCCCCTGGTTCTTTTTCGTATTTCAATTAGTCCTGACTCCTGCGCTTCACCCACCGGGCAATCATGGCTGACCTCGACGTCGCAAGCCACTACAACCTACCCTCCGAGTTCCCCGAGGAATGGCCGGCATCTTTAGATGCAGACGATGAGCCAGAAGAACAGCCAGTTCAGCGAGCAGACTCTCGTCCACGCAAGTCCCGATACATAGCTCTTGAACGCAGTACCAGTGATTGGAGAAGCAACTTTGGTTCACGAAGAGGGAAGGAGGGGAGAGACAATGCACGGGAAGACGAGCCCGATCCCTTGGGTACAAGCGACAGCGTTCTCCGGATTCTTAAGCAGCGAGGAGTGCCATTGGAGGAAGAAGGCAAATCACGGTTCCTGCTGTCATCGACATCATTCTCGCCAGCACTATTCCTATCACAGGCTCATCACTCGGCCTCCATTGAATCCCTTATAAGCGGCCTGGATAACCTATCGCATTCCATCGACCAGAAGTCGGCATCGCTGAAGGTACTGGTGGAAGCCAACTTTGAGCGTTTCGTCCGTGCCAAGGCAACTATCGATAGCGTCTACACCGAGATGAGAAACCAGGGCGTTGATAAAGAACCAAGCCTAAGTCCTCGCAGGTCAGGGCATTTCCGGAGCTATTCAGGTCAGCAATGGAGCACATCTCTCGCCCCCGTGGTTGTTGCTAAGAAGACCGCTCTTGTCAAGGAGAGTGAGTTCGGCATGAAGGGTATTAGAGGTCCGCTAGTTGAGGCCTCTGTCAAGGCCGAAGAGGTTTGGGGACCGGCTCTTGGGGGTCGGGAACGAGAGAAGGTTCTGAAGTCGGTGGTGGAGACTATGGAGAAGCACCGCGATGTCTATGAAATTGGAAGCCACTTGGCCAAGTCCATCAAACAACGTGATTATGATGCTGTCTTTGAGCAGTACACGAAAGCAAGGACACTCGCCAACCAGGCTAAGAATATCGCGGAGCAGGCGTCCAGTTCCCGTCGGCAACTAAACGACTCCGAGACACATACCATTCTGGCTATGGGCCGGATGGTGATGGACGTTGACCAACAAATCCATGGTTTTAAGCGTGATCTCTGGAGACGTCTTGCCGATGCCCCCACTACATCAACTACAAGCACCGCCTCAGGGCCTGTGGAAGAACACATGGAATTAATCGGGGCCCTGTTGGAATTGGGTGTCGAGGAAAACCCTATCTGGAAATGGCTCCAGAGTCGTTACGAATTCCTGAAGACAAAGATCACCGGATTCAGTGATCGATGCAAGGTCGAAATCGAAATTTTAAGAAGAAGACTTGCTGGTGGAGAGAGACCAACTTCGCAGGCGACAGCATCCTATCTCCGCCTGGCACCTCGTGATGGTGCGGTAGAATTACCAGCGATCCTAGATACGGATCAAGTCATTGAGCTGTGGGAATGCATACAAACGTTCCTAACTCGACTTCTGTCCTCGCAAAGTGGCTTGCTGGGCGAGGTCTTGGATTTCTGGGAAGTCGCACAATCATTCATTGATGGCAATCGACAACGGCTTTTGCCTGTCGGTTTTGAAGGGGAGAGTCGCAAACACCACCATCTTTCCAACGACAATATTAAGCAGTTAGAGCAGGGTATTGACGTGTTGGTCAATATTATTCGAGAAAACGTCGTGACCCTTTTCACGGAACCCCCAACCGAAGATATCTCCGTACTCTTCTCGCCAGTTCCAGCAAGTCCATCAACTCCAGAGTCGAGGGGTATTACTCCGACAGAGTCCCGCTTCAAGTTGGACCCGAGGAACCTACCATATCCTCCGCCAAAGCTTGGAGAGCACTGGGAGAGTTTTGCATTCTGGCCACCATTTTCTAATTCCCTGAGTGGAGTGCACTATTTGAGTAAATTCCTCATCATTGTGGGCACCGCTGCGAGCGAAATGGCAGACCTAAGGCCGATTGGCGGCTCTGGAAAAACATATGACCTCCTCAAGACCCTTGTCAGTATTGCCCGGGAACGATGTGCACGTGTGGCGTGTGCTGCCTGGAGCAAAGATGCGGAGGTCTGCAAAATGCTGGAAGACTGGACACGCGATTCAGAGAAGCGTGATTTGACTAAGATGCCTGGGTTCTTTGTGGCTTTTGAGAGTGCTATCCTGGTGGGCATGCAAAAGATTCTTTACATCTCGGAAGCTATGGCAAAGCCGGGTTCCGTGGATGTTGTCACTCAGCCGCCTGCGAAATTGCTTCAAATGGTCCGCTCTCAGTTCGTATCGAGTGTTTACAAATCATTAAGCGGCTTGGTCGAAAACGCAGAGCGCCTGACAACAGTAGATGAAGAAAATGAATGGATTATTTCTCGACCAGCAATGACAAGCCAAGCGACTGACGCTGCATTGTCGGTTCTCTCGGCTGATTCGGTCGATTCTTGGAATCGCGTAAGTATCGGTCCAATCTGATGTGATACCTGCATAACTGACCACAGAACAGAATGTTCGAATCCTTCTCACACTCTCAAATCTGAAGGCTCTGCAGGCCGACTATGTCCCACAGCTTATCTCGAACTTTGAGTCATCCTTCTCGGTCAAGCTGTCGGAAGAGGCCAAGACCGTTCGGGACGTGCTGAGCCAGATTGAAGACAGGCTATTCCAATCATATATCACCCCGACTACTGTCTTATTACACAAAACAATTACCGCTGGCATTGCATCTCCAGATTGGGAGCCGTCTGTAGATAGGCCGGAGCAAGTCCGCCCATATGTCTACAACGCCCTGCTGATCATGGTGCTGGTCCATACAGAGATCTCCACAACTATTCCGTCCACTGTGTCACCGGGCGCTAGTCGCGCTGCGTCAAGCTCACCTTCCTCGCTCCTAGTCACTGTGTTGACACACCTGCTTTCTCAAATTTCTTCATCACTGCTGGATGCCTTCCGTGCTCGGCCATCCTTCTCACTCCCAGCTTTGATGCAAGCTACCTTGGACACCGAGTTCATTGCACAGACTCTTAGCTCGTACATAACCGACGAGGCATCAGATGTACAAAGTCAGATCTACGTCGAGCTGGATTGTCGTACCACAAATGAAGCCCGCACAAAACTGAAGGCCGAACTAGGAGAAATGCGAGTTATCCTAAAACGGCTCAGGGATCGGACGAAGGGGCAGTTTGCTTGCTTCAAAAAGCCGAGAAGCGGTGGAGGTGCAAATAGCGGAGGGACCTCCAAGCCTCCCACTGCGGCCGGGACATACTACTAGGTCTAGCAAGACAGTACTATTCAAGAATCGTAATCTGAATAAAAACTTTTATTTCATATCCAACCGGGTATCATGGAAACATAGTCCACACCATGCATGTGTAGTTCGTGCCTTTCCTCTCTAATTCTGACCAACCATCCGCTGCACGCGACTAAGCAACGCGGTGCTCTCTCTGCCTAATCTCCTCTTCCCAAACTGGTCCGGCCGCTTCGCGCGTAGCAGGGCCCCACGCTCGTTTTGTTTCGCCTCGCGTTCCTTCTGTCGTGCTTCCTCGGCTTTCCTCCTCTTCTCCGCAAACTCCAACTCCCTTGTGAATGCAGAGGGCTTTTGCCGGCGCTCCCTTTGTTTGCCCTCGCCTCGTGGACGCCATTCTGGTTTAGGTGCAGGTGCTCGCTCCCCCTCGGGCTCGTTCAACATGGCTATGCGATCCGGGTGAAGTTCCAGAGTTGTTGCCTCTTCGCCAGCCTCTTCCTTGTCCTTGCCAGTTTCGACTTCGTCCCCCTCGGTGGTATCGTACACGGATTTCCTAGGCGCGATGGCGAGTTCTTGGGCTTTGATCTTGGCATAGGCCTTCTTCACTTTGGCCTTGTGAATCAAGTCATTTTTGATCTTTTGGGCTGTTTTTTATCGTGTGGTTAGTCTCATTCAAGACATGGCTTTCGGGCGTGCTCACTCTTGCGACGATATGTGCCATCTGGGAGGTTTGCAGGTCCAACGCTAAAGCCCTTGCGCTTCTTGATCGCGGGCTCGCCCTTTGATACTGGGGCAGCATCTCCATCGTGGGTGCGTTTCGGTGCCATGCTGATATTCAAGCAAAGCAAATTTGTTTTGTCTTAACGTGTGTTGAGAATCGAAGACTTTCGGAGAAGGAAAAAAAAAATGTGGCGATCTCCGCACGGAACATCGGTCTCGGCCACTAGCAAGGAAGTATGAACTTTTGAACAATATACAGCACCTTTGTCTTCTCGGTTTTGGGGCTAAAAGATCGAGATTGTAGGTAATTAGCATTAGCAATATCATTAGCAATACCATCTACAAGCTCTACAACATGTTCGACATTATCAGTGATTCTATTGAGCTAGTCTACGCATTATTTACTTTTTTCTCTCTATTTCTCCCCAACATCTCCCATAGCCCAGGCATCGGGCCTTGATTTCCTTATTGAGACCGAAATAATACAAATATACAACATTCAATATGACTCCTGAAGGCTCCCTATCCAATCACTGCAACACAACGTCACTGGTCCATCACATGACGTTCGCAGGCCGGATCTCCGAGATCCACGGCGGGTGTCCACCCCATTCAACGACACAAAGCACACGACCTGCTCAATACTTTCTTCGCCTATCAACCTGTGAGGTTCAAACTGGGCATTCATACTTTGAGACAGCAGCAAAAGTCATGCCCATGGCGTGACGTATTTTCCTCTATAAACTGTTATCTTCTTCTCCCACCAGTAAAAACCACCGACAGCATATACCCGAATCATCCTGGTACACCGCATCCAACTTGGAACCCCCACCACGGCACAGCTCGGCTTTGGTTTCAAAAAAGTGCTACGTGGGTGTCTTCCGGAAATGTCACATTTAGTATTTTATGTCTTATAGTCTGCCCTTATCATACCACCATGCCCCTATTTCGAGATCCGGATCGGAGGCGTCATTATCTATGGTCGCCCGACCATGGCAATGGTGAACAACCGACCACAGGGTCCTCGCAGCTCCAGCTAAATGATCTCAGTCACATTGAGGGTGAGGTAGCTGCTCCAGAAATGACAACCAACTCTATGCATTCAACGGCGTTGAATCCGCCTAAGTCGTGGGCGAATGATCGGGAGGAGCTCATCCACCGTATCAAAGAATCTTCGCCTTGGAGACTTCAACATATGGTATGTGAATCTCTTCGTGGATGCCTAGCACTGTTCCAAATCTCTGCTCGTTGTGATTCCGCTTTCTTTATTTGTCCAACACATGCATAAGCTAACATGCAAACAGTCCCCGGATAAGGACAACAAAGATTTATTTATATCTCAAACTTCACGGGAGCAGTCCCAAAGAGCAGCAAGAGAGTATGGAAGCCACTCTCTCAACGAAGAACGTCATGTCAATGCGACAGAGGAACTGGGATCGCCGGCCGATATCCAGAGACCTCGGTCAGCGTTACACTCCGGTGATTTCAGGGAAGGTGCCACAGATTCTCATGACTCACACGCTCCACGGTCTCCCTTTACTGACCGGAGCTTGGCTTCTCCATTTGCTCATTTGAGCTCCTCGCCCACTACTCCTTGGTTCGGAGCACAGGCGTTGCCCTCCGGTTTACGAAAGACAGGTACATCGAATGAACACCTTCAGTCCGATGTTATCCTGGATGCTCGCGCTGGTGCACCGTCGGTGGGCTCATTCTCGTCAAGTTATGTTCTGAAAGCTCCTACCAGTCCTCTGGTATACCAAGCGAATAACACCGACTTGGACTTTTCGTCCCGTGTTGACCATGTGGACGTTTTGGAACATTTAGACAGAAAAAACCGCCGCCGTACTTTGCCACCAGAGACCTTCCGCAATCTCCAATTCTCCTTGCCAAGCAATCAAATTCTCAACCCTAACGGTCCATCTCCACCCAAACGGCAGCATGATGTCTTCACAAATCAAACATCTTTGCCTCGCCGGTCATTGACTTCATCGTATAGTCTTCAACTTGCACCGACCCCCGGGGGGCAGATCCCACCATCGCGAGTAAGACGGCCGTCCTTCGTCTCTGACATCTCGTCAAACCATCACGCGCCGATGGTGGGCTCTTACGAGGAATCGATATTACGCGGGAGAATGTCAATGAATCCTTCCAAGCCGCTAGATTTCACGGCTCAGATTGGTGTCCTAGGCAAGGGGAATTGCAAAGGTCATCTAAAATGTCCGCCACATGTTACAGTGCCATTTCCGGTTGTCTTCTACAGTTATCCGACCTCCGGGTCCGGCCGCTCAATCTCAGATGACAATCCAAGTCCCTATGTGGGACAGATTGACCTGGAAAATTCCCTACTAAAAGGAAATTCCAATCCGACTAGACGTCGCAGGCGACATCCAAGTCTGACGGAACCCCTAGAAGGCATTCCCGCCACAGGTGGAGCAAATGATACCCCTGCATGTGCTGAATCACGACGCCACCGAGAAAAGAAGAATCGCAGGTCAGAATCGCCTAAATGTCCCCCGGGGGGGTCTTACCGCATTCCGCAACAAGGTCAACTACAAATCATAATCAAAAACCCGCACAAAACCGCGGTAAAGCTTTTCCTAGTTCCATACGACCTCGGTGATATGGAACCAGGCACAAAGACCTTCATTCGGCAACGCAGCTATTCGGCAGGTCCGATTATCGATATGCCGCTCAGTGCACGGAAAAATTATGGGACCGATCGCCCTGAAGCTTCCTTGAATCCCACAGAAGACCCTCAGGACAAACCCACGTTACGATACCTCATTCATCTAAACATCTGTTGTCCCGCGCGCGGTCGCTTTTATCTACATTCGACTATTCGCGTGGTATTTGCAAACCGCGTTCCGGACGGCAAGGAGAAACTACGGAATGAGATCCAAAATCCTGAGCCTCGATACAGCCCGTACAAGCCCTCCCGAGAGTCTTCCATCTCGAGCACTGCGAGCGCAAATACGCGCCTGGGAACTGAACAAGCGTCTCGCAGACTGAGTGTGGGCCAGGGAGCGACCCCTCGTCTACACCCACATGTATCAAGCGGGTTCCCCTCACAGCTAGATGCGCCAAGACCCGTGGATGTTACAGGTGGCCCTGAAAATGATGCTCCCTCGCATAGTGTGTCTCGGTACAACGAGCTCACCGGAGGCGACAAGTCTTACGAACGTCATGCTCGTATCTCGAATCCGATCGTCCCAGAATCTGGCGAGAGCCTTCTTGCCAAAAGACTCCGAGGCCTCGATGTGCACAGGTCGGAGTCCACAGTAGATGAACGACATCCACGCAAATTGGGCCTTTATGATCGACCATCTCCTACCCACAGCCACCATCCTCGCTGAACGAACCCAGCGCTATATCCTCCAAGAAATTTGACCCCGCCATTCCGTATAACAATAACACCATCTATCTCCCACGTATATCTTGACCTCGACTTGACATATCACCTCGTTTCCTGTCTATACCACCCCTCAAGGAACAGCATGGCAGTAGGCGCACTGGTTTGCAGCCGATCCCCTGTTTATACTAACTCACATCATAGTTCCGAGTATCTTTATTCACCTTGATTCATGCCCGAGCGATGTGTGTATTTATTTTCTTTGCCACTTCGAAGTCCAGTTGATCTGCTTTCATTGCCTGTGCTTCATGGATATATTAGGGAGCCCGGGTGCATGCATGGGTCGTTGACTATACCCTTTTCTATTTTGGTATCTTATTCTCTTTCTGCTTTTGGCCTTGACACTTAAGTTTATCTGTTAGATGGTTAAGTTGGTGATTTTTAGTATTGATTACATATATCTCGCTAGTGCACTGCGTCGCTGCGCGATTTTGACTTTCGTGTCTGCCAATAGGATATATATATAGAAGTTTTCAGATGAAAGAATATTCATTGATGGAATACAGAAGAAGTAAGATATTGTGAAATGTCAGAGAAGGCGAGTTTGAGTTCCTGCAATTTATATCTACAGCGCTAGATACAGCAACTAAATTATCCAAAATGACAAGTGTCAAGCCACCCAGGAAGAAGACCAAGTGATCTCGACCCAGCCGACATGATGTATTACGATTCCTTTGAGTCTAAGAAAAGAAAATTTCCTAGTCCTCTTCGACTAATGAACCTAGCTTAACCAGCATGCTCCACGATCTCGCTCACCAGCACGCCGTCCTTGAGGTAGCTCTTGAACTGCTCTGGCAGAGGGCACTCCTTGGTATCTTCATCGGTGCCCTCCGGCGGCGGAAGGGTGATGTTAATAGCGGAACATTTGCTAGTAAAGATCTCAGTGTTGAGACTCTCTTGGCTAAGGTAAACGGTAGCACCATCAACCTGATCCATCAGCAAAGTGGGGACCGTGCCGTCGATCTGCACAGCGAACTTGGGGCACTTGATGATATCAAGACTGCTGACGAGAGAGTCGACGATAAGGGAGAGACCAACGCAGTTGTCGATGGCAATAGCGTTAGCTTTGTTAGAGACCTTGATGATGGTTTTGTTGCAGCGACTGATGAGGATGGACTGGTTCTGTTGCGCAGAGACCTCGATGATCTCGCCAGGGGCATCAAAATTCTCGATGAGCCACTTGCTGCCCTCGAGTTCCCTGCGGGGCGGCTTGCGCGCGCGCATGTTTTCGGGCTTCGGTTTTTTGCTGGGTGCTGGGGACTTGCCCCGCACGGAACTGCCCTCAGGGACGATGGATCCGGCGCGCAGGTTGGGGTTCTTGTGCGTCATCTCCGATTTGTCGACCTTGCGGAGGCTAGAGGTGATACCCTCGCCCTGGTTGAGTTGGTCGAAGACAGCGCCCATGTCTGCTGCTGGTGCCGCAGGGGCCGGAGCAGGAGGAATACCAGGAGGCGGAGGTGGGGGAGGAGCGCCGCCACCGGGGAAGTTGAGGGATGGGACAGGGGGAGGAGGGGGAGGGGGAGGAAGGGCACCGCCACTGACCGCAGCAGGTCCGGCCTTGACCTGCCTCAAAGCTTCCATGGCATCAATGCCCGTCTCATTGTTCCATGTCAGACCCTTGGGGTAGTGTTTCTTGAGGTACTCCGCAAGAGCCTTGAAGTTTTGATAGTAGGCTTTGATATATTCGACGTGTACCTGGTCCCTGTTAAATTGTCAACATGGTAATTCCCCCAAAGCGTCATTAACAGGAGTGCTCACTTGTCCTTGTACTCCTTCAGAACCTTATTTCCGTAGTATTCAATGCCACCGATCATGTCCGTGACAAACTCCGCAGGCTTGCTTTCGAAGAACCAAGCGAGCGCAACAATACCCTCCGCAACAGCGCTTAGGTGGTTGAATAGCGGCGAGGCTCTGTTTGATTCGCGAATGTTGTTAATGCTATCGGATGCTTTGTGCAGATCTGTCATTAACTCCGGAGGCTGAGTATCGGGTTTCTTGGCTTTTGTAACAACATAAAGATAGGTACGTTCAGCTTGGAAGGCCCGAAGGACAGCTTTGGACTATAGATCCAGTCAGCAACTACTCGCGGTAGACTAAGTTCGCACAATTCCTCAACATACTTGCTCAGCAACCAGACCGCCGATCTTCTCTCCTAGGTTGACAAATTTCTGAACATCACCCTTGATCAACGCATCGAAGTCCTCAATCTGCGGCGGGACGGGGGCGGCCACAGGGGCAGCGGGCGGAGGAGGGGACGGCTTAGGGGGTTGTGGAATAGCGGGCGTAGAAGAAGGTGAACCGGTCAAAGACTTTGGCGCGCTAGAGTCATCGTATGACATCGCCATATCCTCCAAGCGTGAGGTCGCTGCCTCGAGCCTGCAGATGAGTTCGATGTCAGTCAAGTGTGCCGGACGTAGGTGTCAAACAGCGTAGCGGGAATTGAGCTAAGAGCAAAATACCAGTGAAATGCCATTGGCTAGACACTGTTCGCACCAAGGATACATACCGCTTGATGAGGGTGGTGAAATTATGCATATGGCCGCCGGACGCCATGATAGGCAACACGTTGCTTCAACGGAGGAAGCGGAAAGGTAAAAGGGGTGATTTGAGTAGGTTGAGATCCAGGGATTGTCGAGAAGTAAGATCCCCTGCTATTTGGTAAAATGTAGGCCTTTGAGTTCTAAAAATCGACACACGGGATGATAGGGAGTGGAAAGAAGACGAAGGTTGGAGCTCCTGAGGCCCGCAGATGACGGCTCTAGATGTGGTATGGTACGTTACAGCGGGATCCGCAGGGGAAATGACGTTGTGGGGGTATATTTGGTAATTGAATTACCGTTCGATCCACCCTGCGATAAGTCGAAACCCCCCATGTTCGGCTGTTCTTTGTCTTTCTTGACAATCATCTTCTTTGTCGTATTTATACATACAAAGAGGAAGGCCTTAGCTGCAAATATGGTGGCCCAAGATAAGCCCGTTGAGGTCGAGTTCTGCACCTTGGGAATGTTCATAATTGGTATGGTTTACTTCGTCGCTCAAAGTGGGATGTAGACTCACAGGTGCATTGTTATTCAGATGATATTGATTTCGGCGGCTCAAGACCCAGTGTTAAGAATATCCTCGGTGGTGCAGCATCATTTGCAGTCGTGGGTGCCCGCTTGGTCTCAGGCTCGAAGTATGCACGAGCTGTGAGCTGGATCGTGGATGTTGGCTCCGATTTCCCTACGGAGACGCTTGATGTAATCAAGTCATGGAATACAGCCTGCGTTTTTAGAAAAGACCCCAGCAGGCTAACAACGAGAGCCTGGAATGGGTATCATCCTGACGAGAAACGAGGTAAGTTTGCGGTGATACATATTCCACCGAGGAAACCCACGCGGTAACTGACTGGGAAGACTTCAAATACTTGACTCCGAAACTAAGACTCGAGCCTGAAATGTTGTCCGATTCACAGGTGTGGTCCAAGACATTCCATATGGTCTGTTCTGCATCCCGTTGTATGTCCATAGTGCACGATATTCTGCAGCGGAGAGATGAATTGCAAAAGACAGGGAAAGCACCGTCTGTCGCTCATGCTTCCCAGCGTCCTATCTTTGTCTGGGAGCCAGTCCCTGATCTCTGCACTCCGGAAGAACAGGAAAAGTTCTTCGCCGCAAATAAAGTCGTGGATGTGGTGAGTCCTAACCACATGGAGCTCGGCATGATGTTTGGCCAGCCCGGTTGGACCCAAAAGAGCCAAGCAGGCCAGGAAATAGTCCAAAGGATTACAGAATCCGGCATTGGCCCCGATGGAAATGGCATGCTAGTTATCAGGGCAGGAAAGGATGGTAGCTACGCCTACTCAAAGTCCGGCAAGATTTGGCTCCCCGCATATCATCAACCCAGTGCTTCAGGTGCTACGCCTGTGGTCGACCCCACCGGTGCGGGCAACTCTTTCCTCGGGGCTCTATCCCAGGGCATGGTGACTGCAGGCCGAGAGCCATTCCAAGTCATTGGCTCTGTTCTATCAAACTCCGAAACTTGGAAAGCCCTTGAGTCTTGGGGTAATTACAAGCATTATCCTATGGCGCTCATTTGCGCAACTGTTGCAGCTGGCTTCGTGGTCGAGCAAATCGGAGTGCCACAGATCGATATTGATGGAAATGGAAAGGAATTGTGGAATCGGACTGAATTCACGGAACGTGTCCGCCTGTACACGCAGCGATTATCGAGGACATCTGAAGAGTCTCTCTGAGAACTATTAGTCAATCGACTAATTTCCGAACGAGAAACGCTCTTGTATTGTCGTACAGCACACAAGTGATCAAATAGTAGAAAAACATAAAAGAAAAGGTTCCTGCTGAAAATCCGCCTACAACCGCCATCCAGTATGCTGGACCTTCTTTATGAGTCGTTCTTCGCGGCTTGTTGTTTCTCGTGTTCCCGAATTTGCCTGCTCCAGCTACAAGTGAAGAAAGGTAAAGGTCAGCATGATATATACCGAGTGACATGGGTTCGGGGAACGGACTATCGGCTGGGGAAGAAGCGGCCGGGCTCTGGCATCTTGTCGCGATGTTCCCGATCAGCGCTGATACTGAAGGCGATAGCAGCGATACCAAACACAAAGACGCCCATGATCGCAGTGTTGGCCCTCCAGTTAGCTGGCTGGGCATACCAACCACCAGCGGGGGACCAAACTTCCTTGGGGTACCTGCCAGATCGAATCCATTAGCTCCTGGTGAGGTTATGAAAAACACGAGCACATACGGGATCTTTCCACCTCCACCCATTGTGACGAATATGCAATTGAAGGGTTTGTTAGAAGATTAAGAGAGCGTAAGCCTGGTAGTTCTCGAAGGTGAAGCCGAAAGGGCCGTCTCGGTCGCAGGTCTGATGCCAAGGCGCTATGTCTATATTAGGCTTAGCGCCGCCTCACACGACTTGGCCATCCCGTGACTGCCGCGACAATTTCTCTTCTCTCTCGTTGATGGTATGCCAATTGATTGCGTCGCGATTATCCCTCCCGTCCATTGTATAATCTTTTTTACGCCCTCGGAATACCACAATCGCCCAAATGAAGAGACTGCAACTCCAAAGATGGAGCAGTTCAGTCCTTTCGCCGCGGGCTCGGACTGCCAACCGTCTGCATCAACACATCTACGGGCAACGGTATCAATCGACCGCTCCCCCGGTCCAAACCCGTGATGATCCGACCATACAGATTTTCGAGGAACCAGCAGTTTTGGATGAGCAATTGGCTCAAATTGTGAAGGACTCTCACACCCGCCACTCGCAGCTCCAATATCCTTCTCCCCCAGTCGAAGCAGCTCGACAATCTGCAAAACTCGCCGCTCTCCACGCTCGACTCTACCTACCCTCCAGATTACCCGTCGAGACACTTGCGCGGACACTAGTCGATGCATCAGCAGATCCGAACCCGAATTTCAACAATGCCTCGCTGGCCACTCTCGGTCACGACCTCCTTTCCTACTACGCAACCGAGCACCTTCTTTGCACCTACCCTCGCCTACCCTTGACCGTGATCTTTGCCGCCATGTATGCATACGCTGGGCCTAAGACTCTTGCCGCGATGGCACGAGAATGGGGTGTTGACTTGGCCGCGTTGCCCGGTGGTGAGGTCGATCCCGGTCTGTTGCAGTTCCAGAGGCTTGAGCCTGGCACCGAGCTTGCCTCAGGCCCAAACCACCCGACAGCACGGCCATATGAAGCACAGAAGAATTGGAGGAAAACGGTCACTTCTAAGATTTTCTATGATGATGAATTTGGTGACCCGCTCAAGGGGATCAAGCAATCTGCCGCCGGTGTCACCACCGAGCAAGCGAGCGCTGAGTTCGTCCGAGCTGTTATGGGCGCCATCTATCTGCATGCCGGCCGCGCCGCTGCCAAGCGATTCTTCGAGCAACACTTCCTTTCACGACACCTCAACATCTCAGAATTGTTCAACTTCCAGGCACCAGCCCGTGACTTGACCCGGTTGTGCGCTCGTGAGAGCTTCGAGCGTCCAGTTGCCAAGGTCATCAGTGAGACTGGTCGTAAGAGCAGACACCCTGTCTTTGTGGTTGGTATCTTCTCTGGTCAGGACAAGCTTGGGGAGGGCGCTGGCGCCAGTCTGATGGAGGGCCGCGAGCGTGCTGCTGTTGCCGCCCTCAAGGGTTGGTACCTTTACAGCCCACTTTCTGTGCGCGTTCCCAGTGCGATGGAGGAGCCATCGGCCGCACCGTGGAAGCCGGTCCACGTTGACCTGGGCGAGGTCATTGTTTAAGGTATTTGTTGGTGCAATGGGATGCCTTGGTTCAAGGCACGGTAACATATTATTTCATGTCCCTTTTTTTCTCATCTCGCTTTTCTTTTTCCGGTGTGCTATTCTTTCGCATGGGAAGCTAGCCGGCGGTAAAAAGAGTCATCTATCCTGTCTCCTGCATGACTGGATCCTGTACATTATGGGAATTCCAATCCCTTCGATTCACCTGGTGTCTTTTTCTGCTAAATTTCCCTTATTGTTTTTTTTAACCTCTGTTCTACTCTTCTCCAGTTAGACATCCGGAAAAACTAGGCATGTCATGGCCCTCGCTTTGGCCCTGCCATCCAAATATAGAACTGCTCTCAGACATCTATTGAATGCATGAAAAAATCAATGTTAATGGAAGCTCTCTTGTCTTTTGATTCTGTTAGTTCTATATCTCTAGTTACTACCAAATGAATCTACCGATGCCTACATATCTATTCATCTAGACTTTACATCCACCCATCATTCCGGGTTGAGAATCTCATCCTCCCAGTTCCCACTACTCCTCCCGACACACACCTCTGTAGGATCATCCAGATAACGCCCATACTCTTCCCACAACTCCCCAACCCTAACCCCGAAAAGACCCTTCCAGAACCCGATACCCTGATTGTCTGCATCCTCCCCTTCACCAACATACCCAACTCTCAAAAGCCGATCATTCAACATCCCCACAGCGCCCCTCCCAACCCTAACATCCTCGAGCCACGCCAGAAAATACGCTGTATGCTGATACCCCATGTCCCACTTCGGCGGCCGTTCAGCAGCAGATAGAGGCCGTTTCCAGTGCGGCGGCTCCAGACCAGCCTTGAGCCGCACAAAGTCAGCTATGCCCTCGATTAGTCCGCCCGGCGGACGGGGGATGTCCTCGCCGTTATTCTTGAGGGAGCTAGGCGGCGCGGTGTGCTGGTAGCAATGCACAAGCTCATGGGTCAAGACTCCGACCAGCTCGTGGAGCGGGTCTTCTTTCGCAGATGGGCCGGATGTACAGTGCTGGATGTACGGGAGCGAGACGTGGATTTCCTTGTGCGCATCGTCGAGCTCGGTGCCTGTTGTGTAGGCTACGCCACTGTAATCGCGGAGGAAGACTGTTACGGATCTTGTTGGCGGGATGCTGGGTGTGAAAATGGGCCGGTGGGGGTTCTCGGACTTTGGGGGTGAAGTATATAGGTGTTTGATGATGTTCGCTAGGGCTCTGTCGAGTGTTGATGCGAGGTCTGGGATGAAGGCGAGGAAGGCGCTTGAGGCGGGATGGCGTAGGTCCTCC